AGAATTTATTTTTGATCAGTTAAAGTTGACAAGCATATGATTATATTAGCAGCAACATTTTGGGATAATTGGCCATTTTGATTTGTTTAATATTAAATTAATATGTAATAATGCTTAGTGAGGACATGTAAATATGTCTGTCTAATACTAAGAAAACCAATTTTTTTTAAACTAAATATATATTTAGTTTGACATTGTAATGCAAAAAAACCTGTTCCATTAATTCATTGCTTTAAAATACATTTTGTAGTTTCCTTTCATTTAAAATTATTGAAGTAAGCTTGGGGGACTCAAAGGGCATCCGATTGTTTGTCTGAACACCTTGTTTCTCTTGTGCATTAAGAACACTTGTGTTAGGGCATGAATTAACAATAAATAGGTTATATACAGTATAAAATACCACGTACTGTCCGCCCTCCCATGCCACCCTGGCATGACCTCTTGCCCCCCCTTTGCCCCCCCATGTAAAATATTCTAGAACCGCCACTGCACCCTGGGCCGGCAACATTTTGCATTTGCCCTGTACGATGTGTGCTGTAAGTGATGAAAGTGGGGGATGTTGACTTATCTGGCGCCCGCAGCTCACAGCCAAAGTGAGAGAGAGAGAGAGCAAGAGAGAGAGAGAGAGAGGGCGCGCATGGATACCGCAGATTGTTGTTGGATTGAGGCTGATAACTACAGCTCAGTGAGGTAAAGGACTCTGAGTGTTTAGATAGTTCACTTTAGTCTAAGTTATCTCAGTGGGTCTCAAACGGTTTGGTCACAATTTACGTAAACACATATTTCCAAGACACTCCTTTATAATGCATTAATCCAAGAGACTTGAACACTGCTCTGAAAAGACCACACCATCCTATGCGTACTGTGGAAGAAGTCGCCACACACATGTCAAAAGCAACTATGTTTTCTGTATTAGATGCAGAGATCTTTTTGGCCGATTCCACTCGACCTTAAGTCGAGTAGTAATGTTAACCACTTTCAGCTCCCCTTTTGGTCGTTACAGATTTCTAAGAATGCCATTTGGAATCAATTCTGCCAGCGAGGTGTTCCAGCGCTACATGGAACAGATTTTCGCCGGATACCCCTGTGAAATCACCGTTGATGATATCATTATTGCAGGTAAAGATGTTGCAGAGCACGACGCCAACCTGAGAAAAGTGCTCAACAGGGTCAGGGAGGTTAACTTAAGGCTTAACCCCCTCAAGTGCAAGTTCAGGCTAAGCCAAGTCGGCTATGTCGGCCATGTTTTCACCAGTGAAGGACTCAAAGCAGATCCTTCCAAAACAAGTGCTATTAGTGAGATGCCAGTGCCAGCAGACGTCCCAGCCTTACAAAGATTTCTGGGGATGGTCAACTACCTTGGAAAGTGCATACCAAACTTCAGCCAGCTGTCAGCTCCACTACGGCAGCTCACACATAAAGACACAGAATGGACATGGCATGAACAGCAGCAGAAAGCTTTTGAAGATTTAAAGAAACGCATGTCTTGCCCACCGGTGTTGCTATACTACGACGTTGACAAGCCAGTGACACTTACCTGTGACGCTTCACAGTACGGACTCGGTGCAGCGTGTTTGCAGGAAGGAGAACCTGTAGCGTATGCTTCGCGTACACTAACTGAAACAGAAACCAGATATGCTCAAATCGAAAAAGAGTTGTTGGCAGTGGTCTTTGCATGTTCAAAATTCAATGACTATATCTATGGTAAACCAGTCACTATTGAAACAGACCACCAGCCCCTCGTCACCATACTAAAAAAGCCCAGACACACAGCACCTGCAAGACTACAAAGAATGATGCTACGACTACAAAAGTACGACATCACTCTTATGTACAAATGTGGAAAGCAAATGTTCCTGGCTGACACGTTGTCGCGAGCTCCCCGCAGCTCCACAGTTCAGCAAGCTGAAGAAGAGGACAACTTCGACGTGATGACTGTTAACTACATATCTTCTTCTCGCTTAGAAGAGTTAGAGAGGCACACCGCTGAAGACATGACTCTGCAAACACTCAGCACCACTATCAGACACGGGTGGCCCGCTAAACAGCATAATCTTCCACATGCCATTAGACCGTATTTTCCTTTCAGAGAGAACCGGTTGTTGAAAATGGAGTCATAATGAAAGGTCACAAAGCAGTTATTCCTCTGTCACTACAGAAAGAATACATCAGCATCATGCACAGAGGACATCCTGGTGAAGAAGCTACAAAGCGGAGAGCACGTGGCATTGTTTTCTGGCCAACTATGACAGACAACATTCACACAGAAATACAGTCATGCTCTGTGTGCAACAGCACAAAACCACACCAGCAGAAAGAACCACTCAATCTGCATCCAGTTCCAGACCTGCCGTGGTCAACTGTAGCAACTGACATCTTTGAGTGGCACAATCAGCAATACTTGGTGCTAGTGGACTCATATTCAGGCTGGTATGAGATAGACGTGCTTCGTGATATCACTGCAGCAACAGTCATTGCAAAACTGAAAAGACATTTCTCAGTTCATGGAGCACCTCACACCCTCATGTCAGACAATGGGAGGCAGTTTACTAGCCAGCGCTTTAAAGACTTTGCTTCACAGTGAGACTTCACTCATATTACCAGCAGCCCTGAGTATCCCCAGTCCAACGGGCTAGCTGAACGGGCTGTGCGCAGTGCTAAGCAGCTCATGGAGAAATCTCATAGAGATGGAACTGATGTTTTTCTCAACCTATTAAGCATCAGGAATGTACCACGTGACGCAACATTAGGATCTCCTGCACAGAGACTGATGTCGAGATAAACACGTACAACACTCCCAGTCTCGGTGAAGCTGCTTGAGCCAGACATGCGCCATCCACAAGAGGTAAAAGCCCAGCTTCTAAACAAGAGGCTGTATCAAAAACAGTGCTATGATAAGTCAAGCCGACCACTACAACCTTTGATGGAAAGAAAGGTTGTTAGGATGCAGACCCCACAAGGTTACAACAGGACTGGAATGATTCAAGAGATTTGCAAGGAACCCCGGTCATACGTCGTCCACTCAGACGGGAAGCAGTACAGAAGGAATCGTAGGCACATTCTGCCTGTAGCAGAGCCTGTCCCGTCACATACCTCCACACGGCACACGTGACACTGATCATCAGGACACAGGACTTGAGTTCACAGATTGTAACATACAGGAATCACTGAACAGTGAACACATGAGGGCTGATGTTCCCACAGCTAAACTGCTGTCAGACACTCCTGAGAGTGTCTACAGGACACGCTCAGGCAACACATCCTCACTCCCAGGTCGGCCTATGTTGACGTTATGTCAAGTCCCCTGTCGGCTTTTTCCAACGCAAGGGGGGGGGCCTTAGCGTCCATTTTCAACGCAAGGAGGGGGCCCTTAGCGTCCATTTTCAGCTTTCCGGGATGTCCATATGCTTCTATGGACGCTCATGGAAGCACGGCATTCGTTTGTGTCGGCTGCCCTTAAAGGCAATGTGAGCGTCCATTCCCATTGGATAACGGAGAATTGTACACCCGGAAGTAAGTATTCCCCTTACTGTCGATTGATTTTACAGTGATATCTGCACTACTCATCGACTAAAAAACACCAGATTATCCTTGTTAATTACACAACATTGATTGGTTTAAATTGTGTGCAATGCTTTTGTATTTTTCCCCTTCGATTCGGAGAAACAAATGTTTTTTCGGAGTAAAGGATGGCAGAAGACACTACACTACCCAGAATCCCCAGCTATCGTTTGGACTACACCATGTGCTCTGTTTGACGTCACGTGATCTTCAAATTTCTTTGGGACTTGACATAACGTCAACATAGGCCGACCTGGGAGTGAGGATGTGTTGGCTCAGGAGAAAGGGGATGTAGAGTATTCGCATTTGGTCTCTTTTGTCCTTCTGCAGACACCGTACCGGATGTAGGGATCTACAGGCGGGGTTCGAGTAGAGTTGTGATACTGCCATGTGTATGTAATGTTGCTCCGTCACTATTAAGGTTATTAAACCAAGTTCTATGATAAACATGACTCGTTTGAGAACATCAAACACTCACCTTTCTGACCATCCTCATGTATATGGGGATTGCTGAGCTCCCAGCTGTTGAAGATTACTGGACCGTGGAGACCAGAGACCCTCAAGTTGCCAACCTGATGTCCTCATTCGATCAAGGATGTAGAATACCTTGGTTGAAGGATATTCTACCCAGAGACCCAGAACACGATCTGATTGGTTGCTTTCTTTTCTAACACAAAACCACTGAAATGCGTAGTGCATGGTCCGAGAAGGACAAACAAATCAACGTAACACTGTCATATTACAGATCAACAACACAGATACCATTCTCATTTATTCATTTTATTTATATAATTAAATCGATTTTTTGTTTGTTTTATCTGAGTGTATTCTCTGAATACCTTGAAGGCCCTGACGGTTTGCCACTGGTAGAAGGAGCTATTTGGGGTTTTGCATCTTGCCCAACAACTCATGGATATGTTGACTGCAGGGGGTTTGGCTTTTGAGTTTTACTTTTAATCCAAGAGATGCCAATACAATACTTTTTAACCATGCTTAAAAAAAGGTAAGACGTTAGTGCCTGAGAGATGAGTGTATGTATACTATACATCTACATTGGCACAAAGAAAAGTGGCCGTTCAGCTGTTTGACTACAAACAGACTTCAATTTGTCACTGAGTGGGAGGCGTCAGATTGGGATTTAGCCCCTTTGTCCTACACTTCCCATAATTCACCAAATGTATTGTATTAGGCCATTGCTGTATGGTATACCAATTTATTTCAAAGTCCTTGCCCCAAATTTGTTTTCCTATATTAAAGCGCAATCTAAGATGATATCATTATGACATCATTAGAGGGCCAATTTCTTTTTCAGACTTGAGAAAGCTCCACCAGAAAGATTCACCAAAGACATGTATCCACTTTTTTTGGCTAGAAATGACATTTATTTAAATATATGTTTTTCCTTCACACCAAAGATTTAAACTCAAAGAAAGACAAAACAATGTTGCAGTGATTTATTCTCAACGAAACACACCGTTCTATTGCTCCTGTTTTACAGTGTTTGCAATGTAATCATCATGTATCAACAACTCTTGTTAACAATGTAAGAAAATCAAACTCGTTAAAAAATAGTTTCATTCAAACTAAGATCAGCCACTGCAGCACATCAGGGCTTTTAAGACACATGTGAAATGCACTAAGCTAGCATCTAATATAAACATCATTTCAAATTGAACCCAACATTTTGGTATATCCAGACTTTATGATCCAGGATCATGGAATGAGTATGTTGTAAAGTCCATTAACAGTATAACACTGATAATACCTGGTAACATGTCAACAGGATGTGGATGTTGTGAGAGAACTAACTATACCTCAAAGTCTGAAATGCTGTATTTGTTGTTGGCAAAACTGGAATTAAATAACATTTGATAAAAACATCCAAGGGTTATCCCATACTAAATTAACCCTTCAATGTAATTACCAATAATCTATCTAATCTTATTATCTTTTTAATAAAATAAGAGAGTTTAGTCTTAACAATTGAGTTTAAAGCATCCTTTTTTCTTTTCTTTTTTAAATCATGCTTTTACAGTTGATGAAAAAACATAAAAATATATCTTTGATTGTAAACAATTATTATTTGTGTTTTCATCACAGCCATACATTTGCAGCAAACAGTTTTTTTGTTTCTTATCAAGTCAGAAAAAATATACATTCAAGTTTGTTAAAGTGTTTAAAGTGTTTCTACATGCTGGTACAGTGGTTTTTCCTGCGTTGAATAATCATTTACAATACTTCATTTGTATCATTAAGTTGTCACTACTGATTTGTTCAAAGCATTGTGTAGATAAAATGTGTTATTTAATGCTTGCAAAATAGATGAATATGCATACTTCTTAATAAAATGTGTCTTACAGATCTTTGTGTCGTATATATCACCTCAGTAACACTTGGAAGATAGGCATTCATAAAACCTGGACAAGGCTTTAACAATCCCTCAGAAAGGACATTATGAATTGACAATCAGCAGTTATTAACTAACCAGATTACAATAATACACTAAATCTTATTTGAGTTACACAGGATACTGTCTCACTGGGAAATAAGCGTATGATAGAAGCTTGAAATCATTGGGTGCTTGTCGTACGTTCAGATGTCTGGAGGCTGAAATGTACTGCGACAATTTTGATGGATACAATTATCAACAGAACTGAGTTATTAACAAAGGAAAAAATCATTAGAAAATGAATAAAATTAGACTTTTATCTTAATAAAACGTATTCACTGAGCCTCTGACTTATAGTCATTTTTTCAAGAAGACAACCTTTTCGGAAGGCTCCTCTTATATATTATTATGTTTTTTATACTTTATCAAGAATCTTTTATTTTTTAAATGCACCATTTAATATAAACTTGACCACTTTGGCAGTTGAGTAATAAACATAAAACCACAAAACATGTGTATCTAAGAAGCTCCATGCAAATGTTGATTTAAAAAAACTCCAAAAGAACATTAAAATAAAGATTTAAAATGTTTTGAAATGAACTGAAATAGATATATCTGTTTGTAAACATCTAACTTTCCCTTCCATATACACATTTTATTAATTTGTTTTAATTGATTTGGTATGAAATAAAGATTCTAACATTGGCAGCCGGGTTTATTATAATGTGGACTGTTTACCATAATACTTTTTAAGTGCAAATACATTGTTCAGTACCTCCAAGGTTAGAACTGTAATAAGAAATACATATTGACTTTTGCCAATTCAAGTAAGAACAGATCCTGAGTCTTGTTTCATTAAAACATTTGAATTAGTTCAACTTTCTTTTAGAGTGGGTTAGAAAGACTTAGTATAAAGACTGCTGTTTCTCCCTACTTCCAGTCTTTATACTAAGCTAGGCTAACCACATCCTGACCAAACAGGAATCAGCACCAAACACATACACAGAGAGAAAGGAAATTAGCACATTTTCTAAAAGGATGAACTTTTCCTCCCTTATTAAAATAACCATAAACAGGTTTGTATAACAGTTCAGAGTGGGAAAAATAAAGTTATTATGAACCAAACCATGAATAGTTACTAAGAAAGTATAACGGCATAATAAAAGTGAGGACCATGTGAGCTTACATTACATGATATAATGTATGTGCGTTGTGTTTAACAAAAGTAAGCTTGTCATAACCCGTTCGCGAAGAGAAATATAAAAACACACTGGTTCTGAAATGTTGCTTACAAATGTTGAGTACAATTATAAAACCGAGAGTGTTTAAAAATAAGAAATATACTGCTGATGTCAGTGTTTGAGGGCCACAGTGAGAAGTTGGACCCTGTGTGTGTGTGTGTGTGTGTGTGTGTGTGTGTGTGTGTGTGTGTGTGTGTGTGTGTGTGTGTGTGTGTGTGTGTGTGTGTGTGTGTGTGTGTGTGTGTGTGTGTGTGTGTGTTGCACCCTGCTCTGAGCCCTCAGTGGTCCAGTTTACTGCAGTGCTCCTTCTCTACGCCTCACTGTCATAACCCAGCACTGGAGCCAGCCATCTCTCCACCTCCTCCACACTCATCTGTTTCCTCCTGGCGTAGTCCTCCACCTGCAAAAGAGCATTTTCACACTGTGAACCTTCCACACTCCTCCGTGTATGTTCACATTTCTGCTTAATGCTCATTATTTAAAAACTGCACGGGTCTTCCATTTAAATTCTATTATACTGCACTTAATTCAGAGTAACTTATCATATCCTTATTGTGTTTCCTTTTTTGTATATTTATATTACTTGTCAAATTTACTTTTCTTCTTTGTTTTTTTTTAATTAGTTTTTTTAAATGCTTCTTTTACACACTCATTTTTGTGTAAACTTACTTGGCAATAAACCGGTTCTGAAATATAAGTGATTCCCCTCTGTTACAAATCCTTCATCAAAATATTAGTTATCAAATCCCAGTTAGGAACCTTCTATTATGTTTTTATATTTATAAAGTGAGTCTCAACAGTTACTTAAAATATGACTCGAGTGATTTAGCATTGCTATGACATTGTTAGGCTATAAAGGAATGGATAAAGCAGAACCAGAGATGATATTATCTTGTTAAAACCTGGCATCGACTTTACCCACAATGCAACTTAACCAGCTCACGATTCAGTGACCTGATAAGCTCACTTCTTTCTTGGGATTTTAAGTCACACAAGGGTATTTATCATAATTCACACGGTTCCATCTGGAGGGAAATAAAGGCCTGATTTATGGGCGGGAATACTGTGTATGTGAATGTAGAATAAAGCTGTTGGTGTCTCCCAGAAACGGCTCAATCAGAAACAAACCTCTTCTCTATAATTCTCTTCCCCCGGTCAATGCATTCTTCCTCCCTGGTGGCTTGTATCCTTATGTTTAGCTAGTGTCAATCACCTCTTTTACAGGAAGTAGTTATCCATTTGTGTTTTTTGAGATCTTTAGTGAGCTTTTTATCTAATTCTTATCTTTTTGGTCTGTCCTCCTTGCTTCTATTGCATTTCATTTGTTTTAAATAGTCTGTGATTCATTTCCGTAGTTCTGCTAATAAATAGTAAGATGACCGTTATCCAGTTGTGATGCAGGTTTATCAGTGTTCATCCAACTTTCTGAAAGGGGTCTCATTCAAATGTTATAAAGTGACTATATGAGGTAAAGATGTGGATGGGCAGTCTAACCTGCTCCTTGGTGATCTTCCCCACAGCAAAGTATGTGGCCTGAGGGTTGGAGAAGTAAAGTCCAGACACGGAGGCAGCAGGCAGCATGGCCAGGGACTCTGTCAGACAAATACCTACACACACAAAACACACAGAGTGACTGTATTAGATACAGGAAAGAAAACATATAGCCACATGATTAAAAACACACAAATCCACAAAAGCTCAAGGTGAACACAGACGCAGGAAATAGGATAACAGCAGGTTAGTGTTTTACTTTCAATAAAAGACAAGAGCCACTGATAAAGAAAGAAAAAAAAATGGAGAATGGCCGATCCTGTTTTTTTAATGGGAGGTAGAAATTGAAAGCTAATTATTGCTTTTTTCCGAACTCAAATCTAAATCAGTAAACCCCTACTTAAAAGTAACCAGGTTACTACAACTGCGGCACGTAACAACAGTGCATGTAGTTACTACAGTGCATATACATGTGTGCTTACATGTAGCCTGACTACATGAGTACAAGTGAACAGGCTGAGAGGAGATAATACATTTCATTGAACTATTGAAAGGCTAAGAAAACCTTGGACGTGCATCTCCTCTGAAACAACAGGACAGCATTAGCAGCCCATCAGCAGCAGTAAGACAGTGAAATGCTCAGCGCTCTTACCGGTCTTCTCCTGGACCCCGGCCAGGCTCCACATGGTGGTCTTCTCTGTGTGGTCCGGCTGGCTGGGGTATCCAGCTGCAGGTCTGATGCCCTGGTACCGGATTCTGTGGAGGTCTGAGGCCTGCAGAGCCTCGTCGGTGCTGTAGCCCCACAGCTCCTTACGCACACGAGCGTGGAGCTCCTCAGCGAAGGCCTGGGCGGGGACAGGGTTAGCAGGAACCAGAAAACACAGAGGCAGCAGCAGGGACTCGTTAGCCAAAGCAACACTTGACGTACCTCAGCCAGGCGGTCGGCCAGCGCTTTGACCATGATGCTGCTGTAGTCATCTCCCTGAGCCTGGAAGTGCTGACTCAGCTCCTCAGCTCCAAACACCCCCACAGCAAACACACCAATGTAGTCCGACACACCGCTGTCCAGGGGGGCAACGAAGTCAGACACACACAGGTAGGGCTCGGAGCTAAAGCTGTCCTTCTCCAACTGCACACAAAGAAACACACACACACACACACACACACACTAAATTACTACTGTGGAAATTAGTTACCCTTTATTTTTGGCTGCATTTTCAAGGTCACAATCAGAAACTGAAGAAGAACAAAACATTTAAATCCCGAATACTACACCTGACAAGCATGCAGGCACCACCCATCAGCTGGTTAACGCCTCCCCATGGTGACGCAGCATAATGCTTTGTTTATGCCTTCTGTTCTCAGAAAGTTAGGTACTACAGAGGTCAGATATGTTCAATTATATAGTTATAACCATGCAATATTTTGTATCTCATTCCCATTTTATGTCTTACATGCCGATCCCAATTGTCTTTCTTTCTAATAACTATAAAATACACAAACATGTTTAAAGCTTTTCTTTAATGGAAAATTACAATTCAACAATCTTTTCATTTGTCCATTTATTTATGCGCAACTATTTATTAATTGAAGAAGAAGATTGAAGATTCAACTTATTGTCATTACACAGTGCAACGAAACGGTTTCTCTGCATTTGACCCATCCTAGTGTTAGGAGCAGTGGGCTGCCATTATGAACGGCGCCCGGGGAGCAGTGTTGGGAACGGTGCCTTGCTCAGGGACACCTCGGTAGCACTTGGTCTTTCCGGGACTTGAACTGGTGACCTTCCAGTTGCCAAGCCAAGTCCCTATGGACTTCACCACCACCGCCCTAATTAATGAATGAATCAGTGTCTATTTAGAAGAATGTAAAGTTGTGTGTAATATATTATATTATATGCTGCCCTACACATACAACCAGAGGAGGGGAGAGGCCTTGTGCCGTTCACTGCTGAATTATAAAAGAATACATTTTTTAATAGATTTTCATGCATGTAAATTTGATCAGCACATAGTTATATCTGAAGCTGATTGGTTGGTCATGGCTATTCAAGGGGAAATCTTCGTGTACGTTTGTAAGGCAGACGCTGAACTTAAATAGTCCTCCACTGTTTCTTAAACTCACCTGCTGCCTCAGGCCGTGGAAGGTGGCGATGGGCTGGGCATCTCTGGTTGCCGGGGCATCCTCTCGGTACACTCTGATGTCATCACCGTCACCCTGGGCGGGCCAAAACCCCACCAGGCCCCGCCCCTTCAGACTGCCACTGTCAATCATCTGGTGGAGCAGCCGCTGGGCCTCATCGAAGACTCGCCGCGCTTCAGAACCTGCAGGAAGACAACACTGCTCAGACATGGTATCATCTCCGTGACAACCAGGCTGGGAGACATCCCACTGAATCACTGCTGCCAGCGCCTATGTGTTATTTAGTTGTAAAGTTATTGTAGCTTTCAATGTTGGCACTGAAGATTTCACTGCACTATTCTCCAGTAACTGCCTTTAAGTCACAAAGCTATGCACCACATTATATACATATTTATGAGATACTTATATTATATATATAAAATGTTTCCCTCAATCAACTAACGTGTAACAATAACATCCATTGTATAGTGTTAATCCATGGGGGGATATTCATCTAACTTTTTGTGAATAATATGAATGTTTAAATATAATACATACAATATTAGTATGATAGATAATATAATAATTTCAACATGATACTTTAATTAGTTTGTAACAATTATCTAAAAGAAAACAGGACAAACGACCGTATTAAATTGTCAGTAACACTTCCTATGACACACATGGATAAAATAATCAGCTTAAAGCATTGTTTAATTAGAGTTACAAGAACTAACACAAATTAATAAAGCTTTATTAAACATTACAATGTAATGTCATATTATTAAACAGTGCTATAAACAGATTGTAATGCATTGTGAACACTCCTTGAAAGTCTTATGAAAAGAAAAAATGAAGTTTTCTTCATGCCATTATACAGAGTGTGGAGGTCTGTTAAAAAACTCAAATATATAAGGGCATTTATCAACATGTAAGCAGCATGTGGTGTCGCAGGAGAGATGTCTGTGGAGTGATTAATGATAACAGACGTGGAGCTCATACCAACAGTCTTGTCCTTGAAGATCTTGGGGTAACCTCTGTTGGGGTACTTTCCCCTCAGCTGCCACACGTCAAAGAAAGGCTTCCAGTCGATGAACTCCTCCAGACTGTTCAGGTCGTAGCGGTCAAACACACGAGTACCCAGGAAGTGAGGACGCACTGAGACACGGGACAGAGAGCGGTCCATGCAGGCATGAACAAAGTATTACATACAGCATGTCTTCTGTATCTGCTCCTTCTAACACCACACTGAAGATAGGGCTGTATTCAATGATACGATGTTTCAAAGCATTTTAATGATGTTGTGAATTGTTTAGTGGTGTGACGTCATAAGATATGACAACAGATTCATTTGAAATCCTCAATAGAAATGTTAAATGTACATAAAGGTTTTGCTTTGATAACATTGTAATAAAGTGGTGTGGCTGACTGACCTGGTGTGGCCACAGAGAGCCAGTCTATATGCAGAGCCTTGTCTCTGGCCTGAGAGAGAGACAGGTACCGACGGTCCTGAGGACACACAGAGAGAGATTACATTTTATTTATATTACACATTACAAGTGAACTTAAAATGGTCAATATTACATGCATGCGCAAACACACATCCACTGAACTGTAAAAAAGTATTGATATCATTATTATCAGCTTATATAAGACTAAGATAGAAGGACTGCCAAAGGATGTGAATGGGAGACAGTATAAGAAGGATTGGATACACAGCTGTGCTAAGCAAGGGATAATGTGCAGCGAGGCGGTTATTATGGGGACAAGAACACCCGAAAGGCTGCTCAGGAGCCCGACGCGAAGCGGAGGGATCTTGAACACGCTTATTACATGGCCACATTCTCAACAAAGAAACGATATTAATTTAAATGCTTTTATAGATTTAGAAAATATTTTTATTGATTTAAAAAATAGTAGGCTATTATTTATTTTAAATGAAATGCATCCACTATGAAAAATAGTCCGTTGTTACTGTTTGAACTACGTAGCAACCGCAGGAACTGCTTCGACCTTTTTGATTACATATTTGAAAACATCGTTGCTTGCTTTAAAAGTAGCACAATTCATTATGTCAAACCTTGGAAAGTATCTAGATATCCCTGCCCTAATGCCAAAGTAACTGGCAACTGAATATGTGTCGCCGTCTGATGTCTATGTCTGGACCGCTGCGTAAAAAGGAGGGTTTCTGCCCCATTACTTCTCCGCTGTTTTCTTGTCCCTCTTCTCTTGTCGGTTTGAAAATTCATACAATACTGGTTGCATAAAAAAGACAGTTCTAACTGTAGCAGTTGCCCCCATATTGCGTGCTAATAGAACCGTCCTTAGGGCAGCAGAGCGGAAATGGTGGAAATCCAAACACCGTGACGACCTCCTAACCTATCAGGCTCTCCTCTCCTCTTTCTCTGCTTCGATCTCTCAGGCAAAAAGCACTTTCTTTCAAGATAAGATCCAATCTTCCTATTCCAATCCTAAAAAACTATTTTCCATCTTCTCCTCCCTCCTGGACCCTCCAAAAGCTCCTCCCCCCTCCTCACTTCTGTCAAGCGACTTTGTTAACCACTTTGAAAAAAAGGTTGATGATATTCGCTCTTCTTTTTCTGACTCACCTTTACTCACCGCTGGGTCACCAGACCCTCCTTTCACCCACACACTAACCTCCTTTTCCCCTCTCTCTCCAAGTGAGGTTCTTACCCTCATTACCTCTGCCCGCCCTACCACCTGTCCTCTGGACCCTATCCCTTCAAACCTCCTTCAAACTATCGCTCCTGATATTCTACCGTTTCTCACCCATTTCATCAACACTTCTCTAACTTCTGGTAACTTTCCAAACAGTCTCAAGGAGGCAAGAGTAAACCCTCTCCTAAAGAAACCCACTCTCAACCCGTCTGATGTTATAAACTACAGGCCTGTCTCTCTACTCCCGTTCCTGTCTAAAACACTTGAACGCGCTGTCTTTAAACAACTCTCCTGTTATCTCAATCAGAACAACCTTCTGGATCCGCACCAGTCTGGTTTCAAGGCAGGTCACTCCACAGAAACTGCTCTCATTGCTGTCACGGAGGAACTGCACACTGCCAAAACTGCATCCCTCTCCTCTGTCATCATCCTATTGGACCTGTCTGCTGCATTCGACACGGTGAATCATCAGATCCTCCTTCGCACTCTCCAAAAACTTGGAGTTTCAGGCTCTGCACTTTCCCTCCTCACCTCATACCTCAAAGACCGTACCTACAGGGTAACTTGGAGAGGGTCTGAGTCCGACCCTTGTCAATTATCTACGGGGGTCCCTCAGGGCTCTGTTCTTGGTCCCCTCCTCTTCTCCCTGTACACAAACTCGCTCGGATCAGTCATTAGCCCGCATGGTTTTTCTTACCACTGCTACGCTGATGACACCCAATTAATTCTGTCCTTTCCCCGCTCAGAGACCCAGGTCGTTGCACGCATCTCTGCTTGTCTAGCTGACATCTCTCAGTGGATGTCTGCTCATCACCTCAAACTCAACCTTGACAAGACTGAACTGCTCTTCCTCCCGGGAAAAGATTGTCCCAGTCTTGACCTAACAATCAACATCGGCACCTCAGTTGTTTCCCCGACTCAGACTGCAAGGAATCTGGGTGTGACCCTAGATAACAACCTGTCCTTCACTGCAAACATAGCTGCTACAACCCGTTGCTGCAGATACACGCTTTACAACATCAGGAAGATACGTCCCCAGCTGACTCAGAAAGCGACTCAGGTTCTGGTCCAGGCTCTCGTCATCTCACGCCTAGACTACTGCAACTCCCTCCTGGCTGGTCTACCTGCATGTGCCATCCGACCTCTGCAGCTCATCCAGAATGCAGCGGCTCGTCTGGTCTTCAACCTTCCTAAACGTTCCCACACTACTCCGCTCCTACGCTCCCTTCACTGGCTTCCGGTAACTGCTAGAATCCACTTCAAGACAATGGTACTTGCTTACCATGCTGCGAATGGATCTGGCCCTTCCTACATCCAGGACATGGTTAAACCGTACACCCCAGCGCGTGCACTACGCTCTGCATCAGCCAAACGACTCGTTGCGCCCTCGCTGCGAGGGGGACCCAAATTCCCATCGGCGAAAACACGTGGGTTTGCTGTCCTGGCTCCAAGATGGTGGAATGAGCTCCCCATTGACATCAGGATGGCAGATAGCTTGTACATCTTCCGGCGCAAACTTCATCTCTTTCGACTCCACTTCGAGCAATACAATTACTAACAAAGCACTTTTATACTAATAAAGGACTGGCTTACCTAAAGCCAGTTGAGTAGCACTTGAAATGTTTGGCTCTATGAAACCTGATGTACTTATATGATTCTGTTTTCTTCAAGGTTGTGTCTTCCTGGTCGAATGTACTTATTGTAAGTTGCTTTGGATAAAAGCGTCAGCTAAATGCAATGTAATGTAATGTAATGTAATGTAATGTAATATTCCTGACAGTGATTGTCCATAGTTGGTTGTGTTACTGCACGCATTAGAGTGAGCCACAAGCATCACAACTGGACGGTCCTAAAGGCTCAGTGGAGATCTGAGGAAGTGCTGAATATATTTACTGATGTCATGAATGTCATGTGGGGCCACCTTAAATTACCCCATTATCATTATGTCTGTCATGAGAATATCATTAAAAACCTTCTTAACCCTTAAAGACCTAGACGGAATTTTCGCCTGCCTGACTCTCCTGTATTTATTTGTTTCTCCTAACCTGTTCTAACCTTTTCTAGCAGTCAGCATCAAGTGCCTTACCTCATTTGATTCAGGAGAACCTCTAGTTCAAGTCTGGCTAATTTTAAGTCCAAATTTTACCATAACTTTGTGTGATAATGGCTGAATTTACCAGCACTTTTCAAAAACGCCAGTACAAATGTTGTGTTTTTTTACTGTTTACTCCGCCAGGAACATAGGGATTTTCTTTTTTATTATTTACAAAGCTGCATTTAGATGTTTTAGGCTTTCAAATTAAATTTCATCTGCATATTATGTTCCCTGAGCAAGTTACAGCTATTTATTACAATATTATCCTAGGCGTTTTTCACTGAAAAACGCCTAGGATCATATGGAATAATTAAAACGAAATGTATTTCCATATTTAAATGACTGATCATGTTTCTTCTGTCAAAAAAAGGTTGAGAGAGTAAACAATTAAACCATAACAGATGACATTGCAACAAAAATAACTTGTTTCAGAGATATATATTATCATTTGAACATTGAAATACAAACACAAACAGTGAAACAAATTCAAAGTGCAAACTAACAAAGTGCAAATTATATTAAAGCTATAAACAAAGTATTAGGAATATATAGAAAGTGCAAAAGTACAAAGAGCAAATGATCTTCAAACTATAACCAAAATATTAGAAAAATATATAAAGAGCAAAGGAAATGTATCCACATTCATCATGGTCTGGGTCGCTCAGATGTACAGCTCTGCTGATTGCCATGAACCTGTCTCTTGTCATGACAGAAGCAGGAAAGAGAACACTCAGGTGTGATCCCTTCCTCCAGTAGTCACTTACTTTTAGCAGTTTTAGAAGTGCCATAAGGCCGACATACATGAGGAATTTTACCGGCTTTCCCAAACAAACTTTTCCCCCTTAGCCTGCTCCTTTTCAGCATTTTTGTTTGTGTTCTTGCAGATGATATTTACAGCTTGGTTGTTAAAACAATTTCTAAATATTTGTGCAGGAGTATACTCCACACCAACAAAACCTTGGACTCCAGGGGCTCTTTTCGGGCAAAAGTGTGGTAGTTGTTGGGCAGTATCTGGCACCTCAGGTCCGTTCCAAACAGCTCCTGGCTCTTCTGGGGTCAGAGATGTTTTTTTCCCTTTTCCTCTTCCTCTCCCTTTCACTGTCAGGGGGGCTGGCATTGGTTTGGCCTTTTTTCTGGATGCTGCACCCTCCTGGCCACATTCTTTTCCCTCTCGGTTTGAAGGAGGCCTACTGATGGGGACAGGGGCTTGTGCATCCCCTCTCTCATCCTCTGTACTAAAATAAAAGGGAGGAAAATATACAGATATAAATGTCTGAATTTATTTTATTTCCTTTATTGCTTTTATTTCTCCAGTGTCATCCTATCTGTTTTCTAAACACAGTCTCAACTTTTGATTTGATTCACACTTTATCCCTCTGCTAACATTACTAGTTGATGGAATCAGTAACTGAATTGTAATGCAATGAATATAATAACATTAGACCTCATAACAAACAACCAAAGAGGGCAAGCGGAATGAGGCAATAAATGAAAGGTATTGCTTGATGTTTTTTTACTGAAATAAATAGTAGCCTCTATTGATAGTGAATCTTGAGCTCAGGACTTCACTTTATGACACAATTACGGCAAATGGCCATCCATTATAAAAACTCTTAGGACTAATTATTTTCGGCGTTATACAGAAACAACAACCGATAAATGCAACACAAACAATAAGAAATAAGCAAAGTTACTCACTTTTTTATCTTCGAAGGGATCAATCCCGTGATCATACTCCTCTTCCTTGCAAGTTGTCAGCTTCATTATCTGAGGAATCCACCGCTGCATCGCTAAGCGGTCCGCCAGACAAAATAAATTCTACGGCTTCTTCCGTAGTGTAACGCCGTTTTGACATGTTGGTTTGAATTTGTCTTGGGATATGTGTGTGTGTGTATGTATCTGTATTTGTGTGTGTGTGTGACTGTATCTAGATATCTCGTGTTGTATTTATTTATCTTACGCTGGCAGAATTACTCTTCTTTAGTATTACTCTCTCGTCTCTCTGTTTCTCTTTGTTTATCTCCCGCCGCCAAAAACATACACAGCAACCTATGTTGATTGGTCGAGAAGATGGTAGCATGGGCAGAGGTTTGCCTGGACCTTTACCCTTTTAAACCTATCCGGACACAGGGGGGTGGGACTTAGTCTAAAACCTTTGCTGTTTGGCTCAGACAGAGGGGCCGCGTGGGTCTCCTTGACGAATCAAGGCTGTAAAATGTGATAACGTTGCCCCGATCACGTCGGAGCCTCTGAATCCCGGAAAAGGACATAGTGATACCAGCAAAAAGCCTAGAATAGCCGCTTTACCTCACTTTTTAAATCAGATGGATAGGATTAGCGGTTACAAAGTTATTAAGCATTTTAGAACGCTACCTCTTTGAAGCCGCGGGCGGCACGCTCGGCCTTTAAGGGTTAAAGTCAGCTGTGGCATCAAACTAAACTCAAACAAACAATATTTGGGAATCATTGTTGGCCAGTGAAGACTGAGAGAGAAAGAAAGGTAGAGGGAGAGAGAGTTTGACAGATGGTTTGATGACCTGAACATTTTGTTTACATTTGGCGGATTCCCATTACTTACATTACATTACATTGCATTTAGCTGACGCTTTTATCCAAAGCGACTTACAATAAACTTTAACTAGTTCCTGTTGTCTTGTCTGATGCTTTTGTGACGACTCTTCTATATTTTCCAAACTATCACACTATAGAAGATCGAAGAAAAAAAAGAGATTCTCAGACTGCCAGTTCCACACTAGAGGCTTTCAGAAGTGTGTCTGTCTCAGTGTTTGGATGTTGTTAAGGTTCAAGCTACTAGATACAATGCTAGCATCAAAGATGGTTTGCTGTGTGGGTCATTGGACCTACAGTAGAGGTATGAAATGTACTCTAGTGTGTGCTTGTGTTTCTACCATCCATTCTCACCTTCAGGGAGTCGTAGTGCTCCTGTCTGATATCCTCGTACTCCTCCTTCAGCTCCTCAAAGTACTCCTCCCTCATGACCTCGTCCAGGAGCTGGGAGCACTGAGGGAGGGGAGGAAACACAATTATTATTTATTTTCATTTGGACTGATTCAACTGGAGAGACTGAAGTACCTTTCAAAGCTGTGGCCATATCAACTTATATTATCTCTCTTATCATCAAATGCAATTAGAAATGATTGCCCCCCCGTGTGTCACTTCCCTCGGTTGGTTCGTTTTTTAACTGAATTAATTATGTTAATGTGGTACCTTGTTAGACTGGGGCAAAAAACTGTGGAGTTCTGGACATCTCTTATATTTTCTCATGAGCTGATGGACTTACTTGCTGACACATATCTTTCACGGCCCCATAATGGTCTAATTCAGGGGTGGGGAACCTCCGGCCCCTGGGCCGTATATGGACCGTGAGACCTTTTGGTACGGCCCTCGAGGTAATTTATAAACACACGCAAAAAAGGAATAATTAAAGAAATCTAGACCGCAAAATAATTAAAAAAGCGAGTGCCTGTTTTTCCTGGCCAAGGTCAGGATTCTTGAACACAACACGAGCCTAACGTATCATCATGTGGTATACGTCTCATCTGACAGGGGTGCAGTTCTGACGGAGAGCACCAGAACGTTGCTCCGGCGCTTCAGAAATGTCAGTATCCATAAGGAGCCGTACACATGCCGCAGTTTTTGCGTGGCTGTGTCTTTAGTTGAAAGCCCAGTGGCGATCTGTCATACTGATCATACTGATCATACAGTCAATAACTTTGTTGTTATTAGCATCTGGTTAGCTAGCTATGCTAACAAATATAAGAAGCTTTTTCTACAACCAGTGAGGTAAAGGCACATCTTTATATGATCATTATAGTTATAAAAAAATAAGAGAATAAAGTAAAAACTGGTATAAAATACTATATGACAGTAAAAGTACTTTATGACAGTAAAAGTACTTTATGACAGTAAAAGTACTTTATGACAGTAAAAGTTGTTATTAATAAAGAAGAATACAGTTTAAAAGGGGAGTGATTTGTAAAATGTCCATAAAGAAAAATAAATCTGCTTACAGTTGTGTTCCATATGGGTGTTGAGAGATGTATCCATAGATCTCCTCATGTTGCTCTCAAAGTGCACCAGATTGATGCTTTTCACTTCAACATTTAAAAACACATCTTCCCGGGGGTGCATGCCCCCGGACCCCCCTAGAGGAGGTTAGGTCCCCCCCCACTTAAATCATGTACACATGGATATGAAACTAACTACATTTGCACACATCTTGTGTCCATATCTTTCTGTGTTGGTGGTCATGCCACAACCGTGCACGTGCATGCATACGTGAGTCATGGTAAGATATCTGGATTAAGAGGTTGCTTTTTCTTTGCACAGCAGGAAAGAAAGGCCAAATGAATGGGCTGTGATTTTAGTATTTTTAAGCATAGGTCAATCATTTGTACGGCCCTCGGAGGATGTTGGAAAAATTGAAATGGCCCTCGAGAGGAAAAAGGTTCCCCACCCCTGGTCTATATTTGTATTTTGATGCTGATTATGACGTAAGCGCAGGTTTAAACTTTGTTCAAAAAAAACCCCACATTTGAAAATCCTCAGGCATCATATATATCCCAGATCACTAAATCACTACTCAACGTAGTCAGGGTATTAAATATACAAATGTGCTTTAAATTAAATCAATGTGCAAATAAAACATGTTTTATACTCATAATGGGATATTTCCAGCCCATTTAAATGAGTATGTTTCTTTAGGCCATAGGGTAGTTGAAGTGAATAAAGTCTTACCACCACCACACTCCGGGAGGCGTCCAGCACGTGGACCACAGGGGAAGTGTATCGAGGGGCGATCTTCACTGAAGTGTGTGTCCTATCAAACACAAAACACACACATATGACCATGACAGTATTGCAAACGGAGGAACTTCCTTATATTACTTTTTACGTATTATGTATTACCTTACAATAAATGTATAAATTATATTTAGTAGAGATCATAGCGTTTTATAACACTCTTATGATGGTGTACTGTAGACAGCTGCTTCATCTGCTTCAAATCCATTTTACTATTTAACAAGATTATTATTGTTTGAATATTTGTTAAATGCTTTAAATCCAATGTACCTAATTCAATTAGATGTAAAACATGTCAATTTAGTTCATTAATAAGTTAATTTAAGTATTTTTTGGCTGTCAATAAATATGCGCTGAGAGGCAGGACATGACACACATGTCTATATATGGCAGGACAATGAGACACATGTCTATATATGGCAGGACAATGAGACACATGTCTATATATGGCAGGACAATGAGACACATGTCTATATATGGCAGGACAATGAGACACATGTCTATATATGGCAGGACAATGAGACACAGATTAGATTAGATGGTAAAGTATTTTGACCGCAATCTTTTTGTTATTTCAGATTATACCGAGAACTCCATTGGTTACTTTTGAATAAAGGAAGATAATAAATATTGTTTTGTGTGTTACTTTGAAGTGGTGGCTCCTCCAATCAGCAGGGGTGTGGTCATCCCCAGTCTCTCCATCTCTTTGGCCACATAGATCATCTCCTCCAGGGAGGGGGTAATGAGCCCGGACAGACCGATGATATCTGCAGAACAAAGTCAACAGACCCCACATGACTGCTGCTGCTGTTAGACAACATGGTGTCTGGTCCATGACATCATCTGAGGTGCACTGTATCTTCTGAAGTATTTCAGTTGTGTGAACACAAAAAAAAAGGAATTTTCTCTGATTTACTTGCAATTAATTAAATAAAAGTATTCTCATATAACTGTATAATGATGATGCTTTTTTAGGTCTGTTTTTTTAGCAAACGGCTTTTCATTTGGAGTTCAGATCCCTCAGGGCTAGGTAATGCCAACATTGAAGCTGCTCCTTAAACACCTAAAATAACTCGATCTAGTCATAAATAATAATGATGTTGTATGGCCTTTCGCATTGCCTTAAAATAAAGAGACATTTCTCAAAGTATGATATTAATTGAATCAACTAATTATCTGGATTCATTCATTGTTATGTAAGGGATAATGTGCAGCGACGCGGTCATTATGGGGAAAAGAACACCGACGCGAAGCGGAGGGATCTAGATCGGCATGAAGGTGTTATTTTCCCCATAATGACCAAGTCGCTGCACATTATCCCGCTTATTACACGGCCACATTCTCAACAAAGTAACGATATGACTCCCAATATTAATTGAAATGCTTTTATGGATTTAGAAAATGATTTTATTGATTTAAAAAATAGTTAAGAAAAATAGTCCGTTGTTACCGTTTGAAAAACGTAGCAACGGCAGGAAGGCGGAGCTTTTTGATTACAGATTTGAAAACATCGTTGCTTGCTTTAAAAGTAGCACAATTCATGATGTCAAACCTTGGAAAGTATCTAGATATCCCTGCCCTAATGCCAAAGGAACTGCACACTGAATATGTGTCGCCGTCTGATGTCTATGTCTGGACCGCTGCGTAAAAAGGAGGGTTTCTGCCCCGTTACTTCTCCGCTGTTTTCTTGTCGCTCTTGTCTTGTCAGTTCGAAAGCCAAACTGTATACAGTTAAATCGAACAGACTTGTTTGTGCAGATGTGACGGAGCGGGTCACAGAGTGACTGACTCCGTCACTGACAGCCGACACACACACACACACACCAAACATTTCCTGCTCTCTTCCCAAATGAACCATGCAATTTCTTATTTATTTTTACTTTTGTTTAATTATGGGGAATGATTGTGTTAAGAGGTGGTTAACCTGTTTATATTTGGGTCGGATTCTTTTGTTGAAATGTGGTTTTGAGTTGATTGTGTCACCTGTTGACGGTGAGCCTGTGGGAGGGGCTATGGGGTCAAAAGGGACGGTGTTGGTTCCTTGGATTTTTTCGGACTGTGTCACTCGGAAGAATGTTGCAATGAAGGCAACAGTTGGGACATGTTTGGGAGTTGGTTGCAGAGAAGGCAACCCAGAGCATGTTTACTCTAATGAGTGATGGACGGCCTGTTTGTGGATTTTATTTTGTTGTCTAACTTGTGCTGGTTCGCTATTTTGTTGTTGTTGCTGATATAAATAAAGTTTGTTTGGAGCTTAAACAACCGACTAAGCCATGTATCGAATGGACGAATTGAACCCCGTCACAGCAGATGTGAGCGTCCTTAACAACGGTCAATAAGTCCTTGACAGCGGTCTGTCTGTTCTGGATTAACAACGTGTCACGTGTTCTGAATTGACCAATCAGAATCGAGTATTCAACTAAGCCATATAATAAGTTATTTTAATGTATCTACGGCATCTAACATTGACGATATGTAATGTGAACTGTCCTCACCTGCTTTCTGTTTGACGGCCTCTCTGAGGATCTTATCACAGGGGACCATCACACCCATGTCGATCACTCTAAAAGAGAAGAAACATGAAAAATACACACAAGCTTTACTCTTAGTTTCTTTCTTTGTTCTTCTGTTTGTAGATTTAATAGTGAATTGTACATTTGAAACATGTCAATGTGTCGGAGGTGCACCAGGACACCAAAGTGAGAAAGCTACTAGTGCTTCATTACAGTGTCAGAGTTGAACTGCAGTTACTGTGGGTCCAGCACCAGGGGCTCTGCTGTTTAACCAGATACAGTCACAGCACTGTTAATCATCACAGCATTTTTAAATCTGCTTCTGAATGATTGTTTTGAATGCCAAAGACAAATATACTAACTGTTTTGTCAAACAAAAAAGAATGCTCAGAGGAGATTTGAAGTTGGAACTCTAATCTGAGTTTTACCTGAAGTTGTTGCAACCCAGCACCACCCCCACAATGTTCTTTCCAATATCATGGACGTCTCCCTTCACTGTGGCCAGAACTATGGTGCCCTGATAGGGGTCCTGCAGAGGAGGAGAGGAAATGAAGCGTCAGGGAACACCTGAAATCTTTTGGCATTACTTGTAGGTCTGCAGAGAAAATCTTTTTTATCTTTTTGATAAGATCTTGGAGAAAATAAGAGTTGCAGTACTCACCACGTCCTCCGTAGAGCCGGACAGAGCCTTCATCTCTTCCCTCTCCTTCTCCATGAAGGGAATCAGATGGCCCACCGCCCTCTTCATCACCCGGGCAGACTTGATCACCTGAAACACACCACGATCGGAAGTTAAGCAAACTGATCAAATACAATTGTGAACATAAAATACATGTGTCTTGTAAATTCACGTTCTGTCCAAAATCAGAACCATCTTGCTCTGGGGCCATAGTGCTAACCACTGCCCCCCCCCACCCCCGTGTTGGAAACAATACATGTATAATCAGCCCTCCTTCATGGATGGAATTCAAATGCAATGCAAATGTTAAACAAACTCTATTTGAAATACATTACAGTCCCAAATTGATGGATTATAATCCTGATATCTGTGAGCAGTGACAATCAGCATTACTCAATAGAAGATAAAAACAAGTCATTTTACAAACTTTGCCAACCATCAACAAGAAGACTATCACAGAATAAGAGTTCCTCCTACCTGTGGAAGGAACATCTTCCCAGCTCCGAACAGATCCCCCACCACCTTCATGCCGTTCATCAGGGGCCCCTCGATGATGTGCAGGGGCCGGGTGTAGCGGCCCACCTGAGCCCGACACTCCTCCACATCCTCCACCACATGCTTGTCTATTCCCTGACAGCAGCAACCCACCATGGAGCATTATGGAAGAAATGAAAAGAAATAGCCAACCTTAATCGTCAATAGGGGAAATCATGTTTGGTTTTGATATTTCTTAAATAAAATATAATGTTAATCTTTAAGTTAAAAAGTAAAGACAAGGTGAAACAAGGGCTGGAAAGTTAATTCTATGAACATCTCTTCACATTCTTTCTTCTCAGCATTCTTCTTAGCATTTTTTAGCTGTGCACATTGTAAAACTTCATTGTTTGTTATGTTAATAAATAAAGTGAAATCTTTTTTTGTTATAGAAAAACTTAAGAATAGAATAAATAAAATGTGTCAACAACAAGCCAATTTAGAAAATCCAAATTATTAATCTTCTAGGTTCTAACACTAAATAAATCCAAATACAGCGTCAACCGACATGTAGGTCTAATCATTTTAAATGTCCATCGTACTAATGATCACACATTGCATAGTTAGGGACCCACAATGTTGGTGATAAATGATCTGATTCAGAGTATAGAGAACATCTACAATCACCTCAATCCTTCCTTTGTCCACACAGGTCAATTACAGATGATATTTAACTGGCCACTTAAAAAACGTACCCATGTCTGAGTGCACTTAAAACATTTGTTAGAGAATATTTAGAGACATGGATGATGTGAGTCTGATCAGCGTAGGTGAAGGAAAACTTTTGAAATGCCAGTATGTGTTAAACAATTAGTAGTGTTACCTTGATGAGAGCGTACTCCAGCCTCTCCTCCACACTTCCTTTTCTCCATTCATCCGTCTGAACCACCTTCTTCGCTCCTTTCACATTGTTCTGTGAGCAATAGAAGTAAAGGCGACAACTGTTAACCAAATTAACAACAAACTGGTGTATTACCTGTTTGCATGTGTTTATGCATGTGTGTATACCTGAGCGTAGGTCAGCAGTTTCTCAGTAGCCTCAGTGTCTCTGTTCCAGATGAGGTTCTCACACAGTAACAGCAGCTCTTTATCTATGTCATCATACACCGGCAGGTTCCCAGCATTCACTATGCCCATGTCCATCCCATCCTGAGACAGGACAGAGTACACACAGTGTTACGGGTAGAAAGGATGTGGAAACACGTAGTCAGGGCTGGCCTTGAACCAGACTGTAATTATGCTGCTGTAGGGTTAGACTGTAGAGGGACTTTCAGATTTTATCTCCTACTTTATCTATATGCTCTCATGCGGCATAAATGCATGTTGCTCACTCAGCATCCAGGACATTATTCCCAGAGTTCTTGTGTCTGTAACTACGCAGATTGCTCCATCTGGTGGCAACAGGAAGATTTTTGAAATCCTCCTAGATTTATCTTTTTTATGAACGTAATTATGTTTTATCATTTTAGTTTTCTTTGTTGTAAATGTGTTGTCTTTTGTAATCTATACACACAACACCTGGGAGAGGGATTGTCCTCTGTTTCATCAAAGTTTTCCTCATGAATTTGGGTGTGTAAACAGTGAAACACGTGATTCATATGTCATACTGCCTTGGCTAGCATCATCACATTTACAAGCATCCCTATTGTCTTGGAATGAGACGTTCAACAATCACATTGGTGTACTGTTGCAGTGTCTTCACTTTTGGGCAAATACTGTCAGAATGAAATGTAACACTTCATAGGTTTCTATTAAAAATAAATGGTATGAAACTATTTGCTACTAAAGTTTATAGATTTGAGATGAAATATTCCAGCCCTAAACTATGCATGTCTTCACTCTCACTGTCACTGAAAGTGGCTCCTGTGCTAGACGAGCTTCCTGGGGTTTGGCCAAAACAGCTATAAGAACTCTCATTTAACCTTCAGTTCCAACAATTAAAAAAAAGTAGTTGTTAACACTTGTAAGGTGTGTTGGTTATATCTGTCAAATTGTCAAAGCCCTGTAGCTCTAATGCAAAACAAAATAGACCAGGATAATAGTTGTTATGGTATTCTTAGCCAAACAAAGTAACTCTTCCTGTAGAACATTGTTGTGATTATTCACAATAAACCACAGACCCTGGTCTATAGTGTCCCAGCTGTACTGATAGTGGGCTATGTGGGTGGGGGGTTGTGTTCAGGGCTCACCTTGATAGCCTGGTAGAGAAACGCTCCATGCATGGCTTCTCTGATGGCCTCCATCCCTCTGAAGGAGAAGGACAGGTTGGACAGACCTCCACTCACCCTGGCTCTTGGTAATGTTTTCTACACACACACACACACACACACACACACACACACACACACACACACACACACACACACACACACACACACACACACACACACACACACACACACACACACACACACACACACACACACACACACACACACACACACACACACACACACACACACACACACACACACACACACACACACACACACACACACACACACACACACACACACACACACACACACACACACACACACACACACACACACACACACACACACACACACACACACACACTTGTTTTCAAGTCTTTTGGGGATGTGTATGGCCCACAGTGAGTAAAGTGACAGTATTTGTGTTAATTCAGTATGCAATAATTAGAGATCAATTCAAAAGTCAGCATGAAAAAAAGTAGAAGGTTTTAGGAGCTCAAACATACCCGCCCAAGAAATACATTGAAAATAAGTCCAATAGAAATATTCAAATATTTACATTTTTAAGAGCATTGACATTTTATTTGGTTATTGCATAAAGCTTGCCAGGATTGTTCTTCTTGGGTATTAATGAATTCAGTCAGGAACAGCAGCGGTTGCTTCCCACCAGTCTGTGTGAACCCAGATAGCAAAAGATATTAATTCAACATTGGATTTTGGTTAGATTGGTTATTTTTGGTTGAGGTTGAAAAATCAATGTTGATTCGATGTGTTTTTACAAATACCATTTCAACGTTTGAAAAAATGTTGTTGAATCAATGTAATATAGATGCCGGTTTTTCAACGTTGAAATTCCCTACATTGAATTGACATTGTTTCAACGTGTGGCGCTATCCCCTCTCGGGCGAGATCATGATCCAGCGTCGGAGGCGGGGTCTGGTTCTTTCCTATGAGAGCTGCTGTGCATGAAGACAAAATGGCCCAAGTTTTGAGAGAGCGAAACGTCACAGATTACCCGTCATGCCTGTTGCACGTTGCACGTTGCACTTAATCTTGAAAGCACGTTGGTCACGTGAAAGAGCGAAAGAGGGTGTGGAGGAAGGCAGGCAGTTCAGTTGCCGTCAAGCCGCCTGAAGAGAAGAGACAGATATCACAAATCGGTAAGAAATGTAACGTGACCGTTGTGCATGCCTACTCTATATGTTCACCTCAGTTACACCCTGTTATGTTTTTTTAGGCTATTCAGAGCGCAAAAGTGGGAACTAATTACTTATAATAATATATATCATCAACGAATTTAACGTCGTTCATCCCATGACGCAGTTGATATTTTATTGCCCTGACTAGCACCTAGCTAACGCAGCGCTAGCTAACATAATCTGACATTAAACTCTACCATCCTACAGAAATTACATAAAGTGTCCACTGATGCAGTCAAGCTAAAGCATTATTTAGGATATTTGGGTGAAATTGTGCATATTTTTTGTTATAATATAGCCTATATCATAAATTAATTAAACAGTTCATCGCATGACGCAGTTGATATTTTCTTGCCCTGGCTAGCACCTAGCTAACGCAGCAGATACACTAGCTAACACAATCTGACATTAAACTCTACCATCCTACTAGGGATGCCAGCGATTAATCTATTATTCGTTACAGTCTCCATAATCGAAGATTATTTTTAAAATTCGATTTTATTTATATATTTTTTTATTATTTATGTTTTTTTGTTTTTTTTCTGGCTTAGTTTCAACCAAAATATAGACTAATAATAGTAATAGTATTAATAATTGTAAATGGCCATTGGTCACAACACCAGTTTTGACTGTAAAACTTGGAGGAAGCCAGCAGCGCAGACTGCTGCTGCAGCTTGCTACACACCGACCCCGCCGATTTTGATCATGGTCAGTTTCTGGCATCCCTACATCCTACAGAAATTACATCAAAGTTGGTCTGATACAGTCAAGCTAAAGCATCATATAGGATATTTGGGTAAAATGTATGTCCTAGGGGTCCTGGACTCCTGGTTGAAGACCCATGGAATAAAACGTGTAATTCTAGGGAATTTCGTCAGTACAGTTATATTTGCATTGCACCAGGAGGCTGATATATATTTGTACTGTTAGTTTATGCATACTGATTTTTAATCTGCTTTGTTTTCCTCCATTTTCAGGATTATACTACAAGACGAGTCAAGGGGATCACTGCAATACACAAGGCCAAGTAAAGTAATTATAGCAGTGCCACCTCTCTTTACCTAAGATGGCTTCTTATTGGTCTAAAAGACGTAGAGTCATCAGAACTGTAAGGGACATGGAGAAAGATATCCTTAAGGAATACGAGGAAACTCTTTCTAATAACAAGTCACATTTAGACCCCTGTGTGAATAGGGAACCACCCTTCAGAATCTCACACGTTTCCCAACTAGATACACCACTAGCTTCCCATGTACACATGGAAAATGATCATACTGATGGTAGTTTAGCTGGAGATGATGACGTTGAATCAGATCATGTACAAATGGGAAATGATCATACTGATGGTAGTGTGGCTGGGAATGTTGAATCAGATTCTGACTCCGACAGCCATGACGAGCATCAGCTTAGTCAGGATCTGCTTATGAGGAGCCTAAGATATTGGGCAACATCCTACTCAATCAATCTGGTTGCTTTGTCTGCTCTGCTGTCCATCTTAAAGCTTTTTCACCCTATGCTCCCTAAGGATGGAAGAACTCTGCTTAGAACACAACATGATGTTGCAACCACTCAAATGCAAGGTGGCGAGTACTACCATTTTGGATTGGTGCAAGGGATACTTTCACGATTGAAATGTTTGAGTTTACCAGTGAGCCTCAGAACTCTTACTTTACAGTTCAACATAGATGGTCTCCCTCTCTTTAAGAGTTCAAGACTTCAATTCTGGCCTATACTTGCAATTCTGAAATGTGATTATACTAAGTCCCCATTTATTGTCGGTATCTTTTGTGCTTTAAGCAAGCCCAAGTGTGTTGTTGAGTATCTGCAGCAATTTATTAGCGACCTTAAAAATGTACTGGCTAATGGCGTTGTTCATAATGGTAACCGATTGAAAGTACTGGTTTCCTCATTTGTGTGTGATGCTCCAGCCAGAGCCTACGTTAAGAATATCAAGTCACATAATGGCTATTCAGGGTGTGACAAGTGTGATCAACATGGTGTGTGGAGGAAGAAAATGACTTATCCTGAAACAAATGTCAGGCTCAGGACAGACTCAAGTTATTGTGATATGATTGATGAAGAACATCACTTGAAACAGACACTCAGTCCTTTAACAGGGACAGTAAAGATGGTTTCTTCATTCCCAATAGATTATATGCACCTCTGTTGTCTTGGTGTGATGAGAAAACTGTTGAATATGTGGTTAAAGGGCAATCTAGCCACTAGGCTTCCTTCACAAACTGTTAACAGTATATCAAGCAAACTGCTGGGGTTACATTCCCACACCCCTTGTGAATTCAATCGCAAGCCAAGGGGTTTGAATGAGCTGGATCGTTGGAAAGCTACAGAGCTCCGATCCTTCATACTGTACTGGGGCCCTGTAGTTCTGAAGGATTGCCTTCCCAGTGAGATTTATGACAACTTTATGTTGTTTTCAGTGGCCATGTATTTGTTTTTGTCTCCTGGAATTTCTGGCCAAAAGGTTGAATTAGCGCATAGATTGATGATTTCCTTTGTGGAACACTTTGGACAGTTGTATGGCAGGGATCAGATTGTGTTCAGTGTACACCAGCTTATACATTTAGCCGATGAATACAAACAATTTGGACCTTTAGATAATGTTTCAGGATTCCCTTTTGAGAATTATCTTGGCCAAATAAAGCATCTTTTACGCAAGCCACACCAACCTCTACAACAGGTGGTCAAAAGGTTGTCAGAACAGCCACGTTGTGAGGTTCCATTACCAACAGATGAACCAGTCTTACAGAAAATCCACACTGATGGTCCACTCCCTCAACATTTCGGTGTTGCTGTACAGTACACAAAGGTCTCCAGTAGTCGTTTTACTTTGTCTACAAAGCAGGGGGATAATTGTATTGAGGTGGGACATAGTATTGCAGTAGTGCAGAATATAGTCCAGGAAGAAGATGAGGTATATGTGATCTACAAAAGGTTCAGACACCAAGAATCATATTACACTTATCCCTGCGAGTCCTCATGCATAGGTACATACAAGGTTAGAGAGTTGTGTGACAATATCGGGGTTGGTAAACTTGGATGTATCAAACGTAAATGTGTTCTGTATCCAGAGTCAGAAGGAAATGGCCTCATAGCTATTCCAATAGCTCATATGCAGTAGCATACCGCTCATACTGCTGGGTGAGTAAATGACATCTTATGATTTATGAGCAGGTTTTTTTTTAATCATTTACATTATTTCCTTTATTGTATACAGAATGGAAAGGGAGGTGGTGCTTTGGGCCGTTGTACTTTTTCCAAATGGCGGAGCTGCAACAGTTCTTGCCAGCTGGTTCAGTCTAAAGGAAGGTAAATTGTTATGGCCCCCAAAAAACATGTATTTGAAGGCCCTTAAAGAACACATGACGGCCCATAAAGGATGGACCACATATGCGAATGTCCGGCTCTTGATTACTTGTGGTAAGTAGTCACTGCATTACTATTGTCTATTTTCAAGTATATAGGTATCCACACGTTTTATGGATGGCAGTTTGAATGTGTGTGGTGCCATACCACATATGACATATGTGTCACAAGTGAGACTAGTCAGTAAAATGTCATCCTATTATTTTATGCTTTTTCTTTTACAGACTCATTGGAAAAGGCCAAACGATACGAAGAAAAGTATGTGAATACTGGATGTCCAACCACTGATCTGAGCTCTGAGGACGAAGCAGGTGAACGTGGGAAAAGAAGAGTAAGGTACAGTTGAATTCCTGTAGGAGGTCAGGTTCTGTAGGAGGTCCCCTCGTTATGAAGTAGACTAATAGGCTATTATGTCTTTTATCTTTGGATCACAGGAATTATCAGCACCTTAGGTGGGAAACTATTCTTTAATTACTCACTCTGTAGCCAAGTGTGTTCATCCCTCAGGTCTCCTTTATCTAAAGTTGGAAAGTAACTATATGGGGCTAGCTAGGTGCAATTGCTATATGGTGCTCATGGATAACAACTTTAATAGTGCTCATTTGCCTTATTTAGTTATTTCTCTCTTTTTCTAGGATTGCCAACATATAACTCCAGCCCCTACCACGCTATGCCATTAGAGAAAGCAAGGAATGGTATGTATTTCTCATCTTAAATGTTGTTTTTTTTTTGGAAAATTCCCAAATTCATGTTCAATATAAAGAATGAATAGCAGCTCAGTGGCCTCGTGGTTAGTGTCCGCCCTGAGATTGGGAGGTTGTGAGTTTGATCGCCGACCGAGTCATACCAATGACTGTTAAAAATGGTACCCGATATCTCCCTGCTTGGCACTCAGTATCAAGGGTTGGATTGGGTTAAGTCCCTGCGACATACTAGCATCATGTCCAGGGGGTGTACTTGTACATCATGCTGCGGAAACAGGATATCGGCTCCTATGGGCCAATGGTTCTCATGGCTTACTTATAAACAATTAATAATGGTGTCTTGTCTTTTAGACGGCGGTGCCAGCTATGCACATGGCTCAAGATTAGCTGACTTCAGCGCACTGGGCTTGGCTCACCTGACCCCGCAGCACCCATCCCACCCCCTTCAGCTCCAGAAACACCACGGGGGAGATTATATGGAGAGGAATCAAGCAGAGTGTTGAAAGGCAAGTATCATTTTCTGAGCAGGTTCTTAACCGTACTGATGCCTTCTGAATTGAGAAACCTATCCCTTGTGACTTTCCCATCTTTTCATGTTTTTTGTCATGGTGTTAAGGCTTAAAATGTAAGCACTTAAACCTGCACTATGTAACCTTTTTGTGATTACAATGTTATTTTGTCCAATCTGTATGGTAGTGTTAATACAATATAACTTAAAATTGGGGTGGTTGATTTTGGTCTCCCTGCTCTTCTATTGAGACATTTAGATCCTTTATCTAGGTGAGACATGACCTTGGTTTGACAAAAATTATGACTTTATGGTCAATTTCTCCCCCGAGCAAGCAGGCAGGCTCTATAAACTCAGTGGTAAATATTTCAGCAGTTGTGCTGGAGACCTGTGTTCAAATCCAGGGTAAATAGGAAAGTTACATAGTGCAGCTTTAATGGTTACTGTTGGCAAACACTTATCAGTGAGTTACTTAGTGTCATTCTAAATTATTGGAAATTAAAAATCTATCCTTGAAATGTAAATTAAAACCTTTATTTTTTTAATTTTCAAGACATTGCTGCCATGAGAACCACGAAGATGCTTACCGAGCTATGTATGGAGGTGAAGCAGATCTCACGTGACATTAACTTTATAAAGACGGAACTTGCTAAACTAAACATTCATGGAGCTGAACCAGAGTCACAAGAAGACAACTTCCCCATAATGCTTCCACTCACCAACGAGGAGAAGTTTGATGAGACTGAAGCTGCTTTGAGGGAGGAAGCAGTCCGTCGAAAGATGGTGAACAATTTTTACACAAAGCATTTTCTCTATAATCTGTCGAGGCTTCTAATATTTTCTGTATGCATTTGCAGGTATCCTGTGGATCCTTATAAGTTTTAAAAGTCTTACATTTCTTGTTTGAAATCTTAAGGGCTTATGTCTGGAATTGTAGGAGTGGATGCATTACATTTCTTTTTCACTTGGATGTGTGTTAGACAGAAATATTGTAAAAATACGCCTCGCGAATCACGATAATATTTTTCTTAATCAATATTTGACAATTTCTTAGGATTGCCAATTTGGTTGTTGGCATTGTTTGTCGATTAGTTTGGACACAGTAGTGGTCTTATTTCTTCCTTAGAGGTAATACAAATGTGTTCAAATTCATTACATTTGTATTTATTTATAAATGAGAAGATGTCTATTTACATAGTACACTGTAGCACACTAATCATTTTCTCTCGTCTGTTAAGATTACCCGCCTGGCATTAGTCGGAGGGACCAACTCGGAAAATATGATCCGGCGAATGCTATCCGCTGCCATGACAAACAGTCTAGCCTGCATCTTCAACTGGGTGGGAAAGGGAGAGAAGAGGGCCTTCAAGGACACGCTGATAAAGGACTGCATGTTTGGTGAGCCTGCACCTCAAAATACTAGGTTTACTACTTTACAACAGATTTGGCAAATATTGAATTTAATTCATAAGTCTTTTACATTTCTTTCTCAAGTTGATAAGAATGGATGCAAAATGCATCCATTCTTATCCTTATCTTCATATAAGTGGTCCTCATTAATGCTCATAATAGGATGGCAGCATTTCTGTCTACTCGCTCTGCATCTCAAAGGTGGGCTGTGGACATTTCAGAAACCTGCCTACCAGTGACATTATTCCTAGCTAATTGGAAATGACCATTGATGATGTCACTGATGGGCACGTTTCTGAACTGTCCACTACCGTCCTCTGAGACACAGAGCGAGTAGACAGAAATGAGTAATAGTGTGAATCAATTATATGAAGATGTGGTTGATGGGTGAATTGCTCAATTAAGGCCGCCTGAAAACCTAGTACACTAAACAGTACACACTGGAACGCATCCATTGCAGCTTTCTTCTTCTTATTATTTCAATAAACAAAAAATGTAACTTCTTTTTTTTCAGCTGCTGCTCGTCAATTTGACCGCAGGCTGACGGAATTGACATTCAGGGTTGGAATGCAGAAGTGGCTACGTTACGCACCAGAGAGGAATGGCGGTGTACCAAGGAAAAAATAGTTAAACAGACATTGTTTAAAGTTGGGGTGTTTTCGTTCATGTTGAACTGGGGTCTTATAGATCTGAGTTTATAGTTAAGACTGCCTTTCCACCGAGTATGACAACCCTGTTTGCAGTTGCCAGGTTTTTATGTCATCTGGAGTTTCAGAGCAAATATAATTTGAACTACAGTTGATGGCCAGATCATTGTCTCTAAGGAGCTTCCTCCACTTAAAGGTCCCATGTCATGCTTTCCCGGTTATTACCCGTCCCCTTGTTGTTATGTAGCTTTTTCTGCATGTAAATGGTCTGCAGAGTCAGAAACCCTCAAAGTACACCCTGTAGCGAGTAAAACTCTAACACAGAGAAGACCTGTCTGTGCTGCCCCAGAACTTCTTCCTGAGTAAAGTGACGTAACGGGCATAGTGGCGTAACACACACACTCTCACTCAGCCTTATCTTTTCTCAGCTGCGGCTCCGTGGATTTACACACACAGCCTGGCTGTGAGTGTGTGTCTGTGTGCTCAGGCTGAGTTCCTGTGTCTCGCTGATGTACAGCTGTAACGGTGGTGAACCTCAGTGATTATGTGTTACAATGGTGTTAGCAACCAGAAAATGACACCAGTAATGACAAACTGATGAGAATGCTGCGTGGGGTCTGGGTACCGTGTTGGCGGGATGTTGCGGGGCTCGCTGCTCGGCTCGAGGAGCAGACAGTGTGAGCTGGATTACTGGTGTTGTTTCCTGGTTGCTGCGTGAAGTCTGTGAGACAGCGAGACACAGAGGAACTCAGCCTGAGCACACAGACACACACACTCACAGCCACGGATGAGAAAAGATAAGGCTGAGTGAGAGTGTGTGTGTCACACCACTATGCCCGTTACGTCACTTTACTGAGGAAGAAGTTCTGGGGCAGCATAGACAGGTCTTCTCTGTTAGTTTTACTCGCTACAGGGTGTACTTTGAGGGTTTGTGACTCTGCAGACCGTTTACATGCAGAAAAAGCTACATAACACACAAGGGGACGGGTGATAACCAGGAAAGCATGACATGGGACCTTAAGAGACAATGTTTTTCGTGCTTGTGGACAAAAGATGTTAAAGATGTTCATATCATTGAATCTGAATAAATAACTGAATAAGTAATGGGCTCTTTTTTTGTTTGTTCATTTTAGTTTATTTTCAATGTCCGACATCAATTGCAATCTTCAGCATGACAATATCTCAATGTTGATTCAATGACTTTTTGCAATCTGATAATAACATTGTTTCAATGTATAATGCAATGCATAATATAGTTGAATCAATGTTGATCCAATTCTACATTCTTTCAATGTTGATCATATCGTAATTGAATCAAGGTTGATTCATTGTTGGGATTGGTTGAAAATTCAATGTTGATCATAACGTAATTGAATCAAGGTTGATTCAATGTTGGGATTGGTTGAAAATTCAATGTTGTTTCAATGCTGATCATAACGAGCACATTCACTATTGTTTCAATGTCTGACTTCAATGTTGAACACAATCTTCAGCGTGACCATATCTCAATGTTGATTCAATGACTTTTTGCTATCTGGGAAGCTCCAACAACCCCACTCAGTGTTCCCCCTAGCTTTACTGCTTTTGGGGGGGGTGCTGCCTGGGCGAACAGCAGAGCTCGGGGCTATAATGCAGAGTTGTTTAACTTTTTTACACTTTGTTGTTCTCTGAAACATGCACATAAATTGGATAAATAACATAAGTGTTTAGTTTATTTCATAAAAGAGCACATGTTCAATGTGAAAAGTGACCGTAGATAGATTAGTTCAGTTGCAATTTGGCGCTATATATATTAAAAAAACACCTTGAATTTCAGGGGGGGCGCGGGGTTCCGTTGGGGTGGTGCAGCGCCCCCCATGACAATGGTAGGGGAAACACTGCCACTAATGAAAAGGTTACTTAGAGGTGTCAGCAATGTGATTATTGATTCAAATGTTAATCTAACTGACCATGAACAGTTCAAATGAGCAGTACACAGTACGAGCGTATGTGTCATAGATTATTTGATTCAGAAAAGGTTGCTAAACAGACAAGTTGATTATCGGTTGAATAAATGTTTTGTTTTTCTCGACCAACAGGTGCATACCTTGATCATTCTGGTGGCTCTGATGAAGTATATGGCGAAGTCGTTGTGTTCCTCCATGCCTGTGCCGATGGTGAGAATGTTGGGGTCAAAGATAATGTCGTTGGGGTTGAATCCCACTTTGTTGACCAGCAGATTGTAGGCCCGAGTGCAGATCTCCACCTTCCGCTCTGCGTCTGTGGCCTTGAGAGGGGAGCAGACGTGTCACACATATGTGTGTGTGTGTGTGTGTGCGTGTGTGTGTCTGACTCCTTACCTGTCCCTCCTCATCAAAGGCCATGACGACCACAGCGGCTCCGTAGCGCTTCACAGTGGCAGCTCGGTGTAAGAACTCCTCCTCTCCTTCCTTCAGGCTGATGCTGTTCACAATACACTTCCCCTGACAGCATTTCAGCCCAGCCTCAATCACTGAGAAGTTAGAGGAGTCGATGCACAGAGGAACCTGGCAGCATGAAGGAAAAGCACAGCTGTGAAAGAAAGATGGGCTAACTGTCTGTTTGTATTTACTGAGCAGATTAACATAAGGGAATTAGAATTTGCAGTTGTATGCCTTCGTCAGCTCGTTACAGTTGATATTCATATTTGTCAAAATGTCATAACTTCATAATTCTATACTCTTATATTTGTGTGGAAATAATAAGAATATAAATCATCTATATATGGCCAAAAGCATATTTTGTGAGGTCACATTGACCTTCTTATCGTCTCATCAGTCAGATGAGTCAAATTGGTGATTGTACCACACGTAATTCAATTCCTTCAAGGGCTCCTTAGATATCAAGTGAATGATGTGGATGTGAGGTCACAGTCAGATCGACCTTTTGACCACCAAATTCTAATAATTCCATCTTTGAGCCAAATGCGAAGACATTCCCTCAGATATCACGTTTACCAGGACGTAAGGACACAGTGACATTTAACCACCCGAAATCTAATCAGTTCGTCCATGATTAAAAGTCCACACTGAAAATCAGAAATAATAAGTAGACCCATGCTCTGTGAAGCTGAATGCTAACATCAGTATGCTATAATTTTGCACCATAATCATTATGATAATAAGGTCACATTTAGCAGATGTTATGTTTAACATGACAACAACCTGATTTAAGCATGTCAGAATGCTAGCATTAGCTGATTAGGTAACACAGAAGCTGCTGATAATGACTTTAGTTAGCTGGTTTTTGATCATAAACCAAATTATGGAAGTATTTTTTGACCTTATAATAGCACTAAGGGAAAGTCCTCACAATTCATTCAGGGGGTGAATGAGTGTAAGAAATGTTGAAATGTTGTGACAATCGGTGCAATAGTTGCTGAGGTATTTGTGTTGGACCAACCGAAATTGGTATCCTTAGAGCTAGAGAACCCCAAAAATAATGTTCTCTCCTACAATAACACTTTGCAATTGTGGGAGATCGGTCGTCATTTCTGTAATATAGTGTGTCCCTGTCCAATATACCTAATATAGTTACATGGCTAATCATATTGATGATTTATGAGTATATTCCACTGCCTTTCAGCTCCCTACCCGTGAGATGTCTGGCTCAGAACCAATCAAGTTACAGAAGCGGGCCATAGCTGTGGGCCCCTCCAGCATCCCCTCGTCCATGTTTATATCCAGGACCTGTGCCCCCATCTCCACCTGGGCTTTAGCAATGCTGAGAGCCTCCTGGACAACAGGCAGAGAGGAACCCAGCAAACAAACGGTTATATTCAAGATACAAGTACAGCTGCGCTCAGGATTAGACAGATTTTATGAAAGATTACAAATCATAACAATTACGACAACAAAATGTTGTGTCAAATTATCATATAATCATTTTAAACATATAGTCTTATACTCTGATTGCCTTTTCCTCTGTTAAATTGTATGTCTAGTCTTGTATGTGTTTAACAGAGACATATGTTTAGGATTTACATTTCAGGAGTGCAAAAGGAAGAGTAGAGGTGGATTTGCAAATGGTTAAGGACAAGGGGGTTTTATGGTTTAATGATGGGATGTAGGGAGTGGGACAGTTGGCTGTTTCCTTTCATGAATATATAGTGAGACTAGTGTTGCACGGTGTACCGATACTTGAAAGGTACCGCGATACCCTGCCGTTAAAAACGTTACGATTCCTCCGTTTCATTAGTATCGGTACTTTAAGAATGACGGGGAAAAGTACTCCGGTGAGAAAGCGCCGTTTTAATAAGAGCCGTGTGTGTTCAGCGCTCTGCTTTCACTCCCTGCACTGCAGCCGTGCCTGCAGTCCCGCCCCTCTCAAGCAAGCTCTAAGTCCCTCCCCTCTCAAGCACGCTCTAAGTCCCTCCCCTCTCTTGTGCACGCGCTAGCTGCCAGAGCATGTGAGAAAGCGAGAAGCATGGCTGCAAGTGGGAGTGCAACTGCCGCTGCGCCTCGGCTTGTTGACAAAAAAGACCCAGAAGCTAAATTTGGAATTTGGTATTTTAGCTATATCTCTGACAGTGAGGGCAAGCCTACGGACACCACGAGGCCTGTCTGTGAGAAATGTATTAATTTTATTTAATACGAATTCTTGTCATTTATTTTATTTATTGTTCTCATTGTTTAAAAGTTTGTGTTATAGTACAGCAGATAAGCTCTCATATTATAACAATTGTGCATTTTATGTGAAAAGCATGACATTTCTAGCATAGTTAGTGCATACCATAAGGTTTATTTTCAGATGTGGAGGGAAGTCAGATTTGACCTGTGAGGGACCGTGAGAGGTCAAATCCAAGATGTCCGCCAGTCTCTTGGGTCAAATGTTTCAAACACGCTTAATTTTGGAACCAAACATTGTAGAAAAACATTTAAGGTGGCATATCCAACTAAATTAGGGTTGCCCAATAATTTGGTGATACTTTTGAGGTTGCCAGAATTCAAGAAAATGCATTTAGGTGAAGATAAAGGTAGAAATTGACCAAAAATAAGCTGTCAATCAGTTGAAATTTGCAAAATTGCAAATTATTTAGTGTTGTGGTGTGTGTGATCAACTTATCATCAGCTAGATACATGACATCAAAGTAACAGTCAAATCCAAGATGGCCGCCAGTCCTCTGTGTTTAATGTCCACATTTTTTTAAATGTTGGAACCAAACGATGTAGAAAATAATGTGTCATTTAATGTGTCATTTCCACCTAAATTGGGGATGCCCATTCATCTGATGATACTTTTGAGATCGCCAGAATGAAAGACAATTAATTTAGAACAAGGACAAGGTCAAATTACATTAAAAACTTTTGGATTCGACCTATGCAATATAGTGAAATGTGCTTCAATTTTGAAACTATAGGGATAATAATACAAAATATAGACCCATGGTGCTAGTCCTATTTTAATGATGATAATAATAATAATAATACAGATCTAAATCTAACAGTCTCCAGAACAGAAACATAGTGCAGTGCACTTCAGTGCAGCTATGGCACACTTGCATCGTCCAGTGCCCCCTTTCTGGCAGCGACAGTGGATCAATTCATGGCACGATTTTGATGCTTCAGGTAGAGTGGTCCAAAGTGGCTGCCACCCAGTTGTTTCCTCTGTCCAGCCCCAGTCAGACGGCTCTGGATCCAGGACCAATGCCTGGTTCCAACAGTTGGCCTGGTAGCAAGTGCGCTTGATGTGCTGCTTCAGTGCTGCCTTGGTTGGAGGAATGTTCTCTAGAGATCTAGACTTCTGTGTGAAGAGCTGTTTCCTGGCATCATTCACCTCCATGCTCTCACTGGTTCGGTCGTACATCAGCACCACAAATCGCTCCAGCAGTAACATTGATCCTTCACTGACCTCACTTGGCATGCATAGGAGTTCATTGAAAGCACCAGTCACCTCTGGGAAAGACTTCCACGTTTCCCAGGCAGCCTTCTAGCCTCTGCCAGCGAAGGCAGAGACGGTGTCACACTCGGTGAAAGCGTGAAGGACTGGGAGAGTCAGACACTTTGTTGGATTCATTGTGGCAACAATTTCATGAACAGCTATGTAGTGAAAGCTTGATCCAACACCAAAGGCAACCCACAGCTCATCAGGAGCTATTTTGCTGAATGAAGCCACAGCCAGTACCACCACATCGGTATAAACTGTACGTATGGTCACCTTCTTACACCCCTTTTGCACAGCATCTGCCACATGCAGAAGTAGACGAGTGTCGGCCCTCCTCTGAGAACACGGGGCAAGGCAGGCTAAGTAAGACTCAGCAGGAGAGCAGAGGACTCCACTTCCATCTGTTGCATACAGTTCCTTGCCCTCTGCGAGAGGAAGATGAACAACTCTGCGAGACAGGAAAGCAAACAAGTCGGTTTTGTTCTCATCGCATCGAAGAATAGATAAAGTCCTTCCAGTTCTTTGGCATCACAGTAGAAGGAGCCACCCTTTTCCTGATGCCCTTTCCCCTCTTTTGTCTGGTTGAGGCTTTTAGGCTGGCAGGTAGGTATACATCCCAGACAAGGTCAATGCGGCTGCTTTTCTCAAGTTGAGCAGAGATGTATGGTGCAAACACTCTATCTCCATACTCTTGAAATGTTCTTGATGTTCCAGGATTTAACATTTGAACCACAGCTGCACCATCGAAAATTGTTGCATCAGCCATAGGTACACTACTGTTTTCAAGCAGATCTGATTCTAGGCAGCGAAGTAGATCTGCTTTAACCCCAATCCCAATTTTGCCTCCAGTTGACAGAGCTGGTGGGGATCCCTGGTTTTCATGGGAAAAGAAATTGTCGATGTCTCCATCTCGTGTTTGACAGAAGATGTACAGCCACGAAAAGAGACCACAGTCACTCTTCAGTGCTGCAAGCTGTGCCTTTTGTTTCTACTTCATCTTGACCGGCGGCCTACTGAACAGTGGCAACTTGTTTGTGTGACAGGTGTTGTACACTGTTCTAGCCTCTCTTTCACAAACGTGGTGTACTGCTTCTCACCAAGGGTCTCGATCCTTCTCACAGTTTCAGCCACTTTGATGTCCATGATGTCCCTTGTGTCAATGACTAGTAAATCTTGGCTGTGTTCTAGGAATGGATTTCCCATCTCTTCCAGCACTGTCACAAGTGCTTTAACTTCCTTCAGAAATGCTGCTTGTACGCCAGGTTGCTGGTCGTGATGACGGTGCCCAGTGTCACTAGCACTATGCTGTTGCTCAAACTCTGTAGTGATCCTGGAAATGTCTGGCCCTGCTACCATCCAGCGTCTAAGTGCTCCTGGATTTGCCAGTCAGTCCAATAGCCCCACCAGAACCTTTCACCATTGCATTGTTCTGCTCATGGCACTGGTCGAAGTGCCATGGCAGAGAACTTGTTGCTGGTTTTGTGCACCACAAAATGTCCAGACTTGAATTCTGCTAGGACATGAGGATGTTTTTCAGCGAGTCATCATGTCACGGATGTGTACGGAAAGCCATCTGGAGGTAGTGTGTGTAATCTAGGGCTGTCCCGAATACAATTTTTCGGGCTCCGGATATTCGGGTAGTAATCAGCAGCGAATATTCGGTGCGGAGAGATTTTGTATTTCTTTTTTTTTTTAAATAACGTTTTTTTTTCACATCTTTTTTTTTTTTCAAAAGGTTTCATAACATGCTCCGAATCCGAGACACCTGACAAACACGCTGTTAAGCAGAAGCGCAGAAAGAGCATACTATTACGATTTATATGTATTTATTGTCTCAGTACTCGCAAACATTAAAACTAAATGTGTTCCTCTGCATTTACACCCAGCGCAGCACCAGGGGACCAAATTCTGGTTCCACATTCCGTCTATAACATTTTACAACCTGAACCAGTCAAACAAAGATACAAAACACATACTTTCTGTTATAACAACAATACTTTTAATAACATAGCCGTTATACAGTTAGGCCTAACAATGTCATACTTGTTACCGATACAGTAAACAGTCCTATGTAAATAAATGAAGAACGAAAACATAAATGGACGAACTGTAATAAATATAATAATATACACTTCAAGAAACGAACAATTTAAATACAAATAAAATGAATGGCTTGGCTTTATATAGATATAAAACAAAACTGTAACAATAGACCAAGGTAGGATGGTAGCGCGATTTGAGCGCTATAACAATAACAGCAGCATACACTTCAAGAAACGAACAATTTTTTCCAATTTTTCAAATAAACAAATACAATCACAATCAGGTTGCAAGCTTCATTTTGACTAAGCCTAAGCAGCCTACCTACACTCTCCTTCATGTTGTGTGCGAGGAAGATGAGTTTATCCACATTTTCAGGGTAAAATGAACTTCTGGTCGTGTTCACGATGTAGCCAGCCTTTGAGAAAATGCGCTCTGACGGGGGTTTGAATTGAACTGGCCGGAACGCAAAGGCAGTGCTTTGCCGCACATGCCAGTTTGGGGATACCGGTCACTGTTGTGCTTCCACCATGCAAGGGGCCAGACTGGATTGTAGTCGTGTCTCTCAAATATTTCTCCATCTCTTTCTTTGCGCTTGTCTCCATCATGTTCTTGTTCCTCTTCATCATCGGACTCAGACTGCATTCAAGCATATCCTGCTGTTTCTTTTTTTTGGGGGTGGCACGGCAGTCTCCTCTTCTCTATCGCTTGTTGCCAGCTCTCCTTCCACTCCCGAACGGTCTGTCGCTGGTGTAGATGTTACAGCCAGACGGACAACCTTAAAATCAAATAGCATTTTATTAGTCACGTGCACAAGATAAAGTAGTGTGGCATAATAATAGTAAATATAATTTAAATTTAAAATATTAGTCTAACCTCAATGTAGACGAGGTCCTTCTTCTCGTTCGTGAGGAATTTTAAATGCTTAATCGCTGGTCCAGTGCTGAAGAAAGGAGGTAGATGCTGCTGGGGCTCCAAAAGTGACAGCTTCCATCTGCTGTCGATCTCCGTGACGAGGGGTCTTCTTCACTTCTCTGATGGCAGGGCTGTCATCCTCCCTTCGGTGACAGGTGGCGGTCTCTTCAGGTTAAAGAGCATTTGCATTGTTGCAGACAACGACACGTTCTCCTCTTGAGATAGCAGTTCTGTGAGCGTGATGATTAGGGGCCCCAGCATTCTGCTGTCTCCTGTGCCAGTTTCCACTGGTCTGCTGTCAGGTCCAGGGTGCGATCTGCTTTCTTCGTGATGCTGGTACCTGACAAAACAGCTGTCACTGGCCATCGTTGCTCCACCAGTCGGTCAAGCATTTCACACGTAGAGTTCCATCGAGTAGCGACGTCATTTGTGAGTGTGTGCACTACAACATTCTGCTGCTTTTGTTTGTCTTTCAACGCAGCTGTAGCCTTTGGACTTTTTCTGAAGTGTCCCACGAGATCCTGGCAGCCGCAACTGTGCGGCGTATTCTGTCCTGTTTTAGGGCTGTATTTATGCACAGCTTGTAGCGTGTGTCCTGAGCAGTAGACCCCTTGAACGTGTGCCCCATTTCTCTGGTTCTTTCTTCAGCGTCTCTGTGCAACAGCTACTGTTGCTGGCATTGTCGTGGACAACGGCTACTCGCTTATAATTCGGAATGGCAAAGGCGTCCGCCACTTCTCCAAGCTGTTCTGCAATGTTTACTCCCGTATGGTTTACTTCCATTACTTTGGTTTCCAAAACAAAGTTACAGAGTTTCCACTCCCGAGTTATGAAATGACAGGTGACAGCCATATACGCCTCCATACGCACCGAGGTCCAAATGTCCGTTGTAAAATTAAGGCAGTTGAGTTTTCAATCTGAGTTACAATTTGGTCTCTGTGATCGCTGAACTTCAGAGACATGGCATCTAAAATACTGGAGCGTTTGGGGACAGTGTAGCCGGGCTCCATCTTCTTCATTAATTTTCTGAAGCCTTCGCCTTCGACTATGTAAATGTCTCTCATATCCATAGCGATGAAATCTACTATGGCATTGTTTATCTCTAACTTTCTTTTCTCCGTTATCGGTTTTTGGAACTGTAGGGTCTGCTGTATTGTTGAGGATGTTGATGGCTGGGACCTATGGACACAATTTATTATTAGGCTGAGCTACTCAACTTCCCACATTACTCCTATTATTTTCACTATTCGGATAAAATTAGGAAAACTAATATAAAAAAACTATTCGGTTGCTTGCTTGCAACTATTTTCCAAGCAAAGAGTAAGTGCACGTTTTTATCATGTGTAACGTTTACTGTTTAAACGGCGGATAAAGCAGGCTTCATCATGGCAACTTCACAACAGCTAAGCTAAGCTAGGCTAGTATTTACAGCATCCGGTGACTTTCAGAGTTGTTGTGTCACCGTGGTAGGCCAGTTTTCTTATCACATATTTGGCACACTGCCTTCTTTTTACCGTCGTCCAATTTAAAATGGTCCCACACAGCTGAAGTCTTCGGCATTTTGTGGGTTGAAACGAGGTGAAGCGAGGTGAAGCGTGCCGTTTGCGTTCGTTGACTGTGTCAGGAGCACAGGCTGAGATTGTATATATTTCCGCATTTTAACAGAGAAATTCAAAAGTATAAATATAGTATAAGAATATGGGCAATTCGCCTTTATTAATAGCATACATTTAGGAAAAAATATTATTTATTTTGAAAAAAAATTAAAAACGAATATCCGAATAATGAAATTGAAACCCGAATAGTTGGCCAACGAACGAATATTCGAATAGTCTAATATTCGGGGTACAGCCCTAGTGTAATCTAGGTCAAACATCCAGGGCATGATCTGTGTCAGGGATTCCACGTACAGCTGGAAGTTACCTTCACGAAGTCACCTGATGTCCTGCAGCAAGAGAAGCTCCAATGACAGGGTCTTTAGCCAGTAGTCAAAGTGGACACTGGCCTTTGCTCGCTGTATGCACCACTCAAAAGGCGGGACTATCAGGTTGCATGGCATTATAGTCATCAGGTGTGCAAGTCTTCACTGTAAGCTTGTTGGAGGAGTGTATAAAGGCTGCAGCTGTGAGCTGGTGCGCATGGCGGGTCTTGGTGACATGGCTGACATGTATGAAGGAATTTGCTGTTCCGGGAACTTGCAATGTCAGCCCTGTACCAGGGTGTTCGTCCAGCCACTGTCTTCCAGCCAGTCTCCCAGCAACTTCAACATGGCCATCTCAATGTGTAGACCATCCGAACATGATCACAAAGTGATCCTCTCCATAAGTGGCTGGACAGGTCCACTTGGACTTCCTTAGCAAGAGCATACAGTGGTTGGTCAGCTGCAAGGACAGTAATCTGACCAGGGTTCACGTGCTGAACTGCTGCCTTGACGATGTCCATGGAGTAACGTATCATTGCCACTGAGTGTGTATTGTCAAGAAACAGAGACAATAGTGCGGTTATTGCTTGCAGGTGGGATGAGAGCTTGGTGCGCATCAGCGTGGTAGGCAGACAACGATATCCAGCCATCCATGGTAGACTTTTCAACAGCTGTCTTGACTTTGCTGAGCCATGCATACATATCTTCTTTTCTTCGCAATTGCAGCCAGTCAGGAGGTGGGAGGGTCTCACAGGACCTTGTACAGCCGGCGCACTGAAGACCTTTGTCTTTAGGGCTGCTGGTGGCACAATTGTGTAGGCTGATGGCAGAGGTGTCACTGACTTGGTGGAAGAGCCACCCTGACTGAGCTTATTTTTTGTTTAAATGTCTACCTTTTCCTTGTCCAATTCAGTTGGAGAGAACCTTCAATTATTTTCTAATAATTTGGTTCCAAAATTAAAAAGACGTGGATATTAAACACACAGCGGACTGGCGGCCATCTTGGATTTGACTGTTACTTTGATGTCATTTATCTAGCTGATGATAAGTTGATATCATTGGTAAGGCGGGGACCATAAGCTTAACAATAATTATCCGGATTTATTACCTGTATGGCTCAAGAAAACATAGAACTCTACAGAGAATGCATCTATATCCAGTTAGTTGAAGCATGGATATACACAATACATAACTGCGCCACATCTGCACCAGCCACACACGATAAATAATTGCAAATTTTGCAAATTTCAACTGATTGACAGCTTATTTTTGGTCAATTTCTACTTTATCTTCACCGCTAAATGCATTTTCGTGAAATTCTGATCTCAAAAGTATCACCAAATGATTGGGCAAATCCTAATTATGACACCTTAAATGTTTTTCTACAATGTTTGGTTCCAAAATTAAGCGTGTTTGAACATTTGACACGAGAGACTGGCGGTCATCTTGGATTTGACCTCTCACCGGTCCTCACAGGTCAAATCTGACTTCCCTCCACATCTGAAAATAAACCTTATGGTATGCACTACACTATGCTAGAAATGTCATGCTTTTCTCATAAAATGCACAATGGTTGTGCTTATCCGCTTGTACTATTATGGTTTATGGTTCTGGTGTGAAATAAAGCACAATAATTACATTTAAGACTGTTTCCCTTTTTTTAAGAAAGTATCAAAAAGAATCGGAATCGCAATTCTTGACTTGGTATCGAAACCATAATGTTGGTACGTGACAACACTACGTGAGACTGTGAGCTGTGTTCGGGGTGCAGAACCTCTTTATCCTCTGAGGATGAAGTTGCCTCTGTTCCTGCATTTGAGATCATTCAATTGTATATTGACTTTCTTTATTACATTATTAAATAATAACAAAAGACAAACTTTGTCCATGAATCATTTATCCGTTTCTTTTAAGAATTTCCTCCATGCAAAACAATTATAATTGAAGTTGCTAGTGGGGATGACCTGGCCCCCGCCTCACATGCACTACTGGGCTATCCTTACACATATGGGAACAATTTCTGTACATTCTAGCAGCCACAGATTATGATGTGCATGTCAGGTTTACGCTATACAGACTTAATGTTCTGACCCCTTAGAAACTCACAAAACGTTACATCCATATTGTTTAAAAAGACATACTGTAACTGAAGCACAACCCTTCAAACTTTCTGTTTGTAAAAACTTTAAAAGTTTAGATATACAGTCTTTGGGATGACGCCTATGATCTCAGGAAAATCAAAGCAACTTTATCTCAACGATGACATGTGTTGGGGGGGGCTTGTGTGCCACCTAAGCCCAGTCACTGCAGAACAATTTTAGATAGTCCTTACGTCCGTGGCCAATTTTCAACCATCCTATGCTGCCCAAAAACATGTTCAAATAGCAGCAAAATAATTACAATCTTTACAAAAACTGTACTGTCCTCAGAATGTGGTCTCACCTCGTAGTTTCCTGACATGATCAGCTTGGCAAACTTGCGCGACCCGGCCACGTTTGCAGCGGCTCGCCGATTGTTCACAAAGTTGGTGTAAGGGCCGATCCTGAACGGCTCTAACCTGAAAAGGAGAAAATATTTGATCACATTAACTCTATGTTTTTGAGCCAAACAGGGATGGAATAGAGGGAAGGGGGGTTACAGCACCACTATTTCATTCAAAAGATTAAAGCAATGAACAAACTCCAATGCCTGAACATTTAAACTTTGTCCTGTTTAAATGTACATACTTTGAGTTTTGATCTGGATTTCGTGTGTATAGTGGTGTATAGGAAATGATCAAATAATAGCAGCTGATGTGTTAAACACATATAAATAAAGGTTGGTTATAAATGAAAAATACATACAAGCATAAAGACAATAATTACTGTAACTGTAGTCTGAAAAAGGGATTTTACTAGTTTTAACATAAAAGTATTTTTAAAATGAGATTTGCCTGGCACATATTGCAGACTGACCTTTATGCAGAGTTTCACATGTTGTTACAGAAGTTGTATTACCTGAGAGCAGCATGTAGTCCTGATAGAGATCAGCAGCAGGAACTCTGGGCTGACACTGTTTGACTGCTTCTGATATGGCCCTGTTTAAGGAAAGAAAGAGGGGATAGGAAAATATATTTTAATATTGAAAGAAATTTTGCCATGATTTTGTAATCATTTAAGAAGAAAAAGATGACATAATGACCTGATGTGTCCTGGTTGTAGTCCCACAACAGCCTCCCACTATATTCACCAGGCCATCCATAGCAAATTCCTGCAGACACAGATATAATACATATGAATATTTAGTCAGCTGCTACAATGAGTCAGCAAGGATCAGCTATACTTTCTTAGAATATAGTATTGTATTTTGAATTATCTAACTTTTTTTTAAACAGGGTGGTTTTTGAGACTACTGTCTGTTTTTGAGAGAGAACTGGTATTAAAAGAAATGCTATAGCACAAGTATGTACACATGCAAACTTGAGAATATTGAAATTAAAACGTATATTGTTTTGTATCGAAATCGGACTTTTATCAAGGCGCTGCCACCATCTTGTGTTGTTTAAAGTGATTCCTCTGTAAAGATCGCTCTCTGTATAGGTTCATGGAGTGGATGTTGCATTGTTGAAGAAGTCTGACACTATAGTGAGCCATCAGCAATCCTAAGTCATAATGCGATAATTAACCTGAATGGATGCATGTATGTGCCAAACGAGTATTCAATAATGATGAATACTTACTTATCACAATAATGATAATTAATGTACGTAAATAATACCATTTGGTAAATAGTATTCTTGAAGAAGATTACTGTAACGTTTTTTGTAAATGTTGATACATAGATTCAAATGACAGATCAATGTGCTATATAATGTACGTCAGAATCAGAATCCCTTTATTAGTCCCACAGAGGGGACATGTACATTGCTACAGCAGAAAAGAGCAAAGACAGCTTAATGTCACCTAAAGCGTGCATACAAAGTATTAAAGATAAAGAAGAAGAAATCAATTATAATAGCACTTAAACACCATTTCCTATAATAAATGATGGAATAGAACCTTTAAATTGGAGGATGTTACTGTCGGGGTTTCGTCGTACTCTCCAAATGTGTTGGGAAGACCTGACAGAAAACAGAAGGCAGAGTTCATGGCATCATTACATCATCTCGGGTGCTCTGAGACATTTAGCAACATCAAGGTCACAGGTCAGTGTGTGCTACGGACGAATCATTCACAGTGTGTGTACAAACATTCATATAAAATTAAAATTGCCTGAATTTATTTTCCAAAACGTAGGAAACTGCTCATTTCTGTGTCTGTAGTCTGTGGTGGTGTATCATTTTTAATACATTAAAAAGGTTACAAATATTGTATCCCACTCAATTCAAATATAAAATGTTTATGTGTATTTACAATTTCTAATCATTTATTTATACATTGTTAACATCTGTAGCATATTGAGGTCATTGCACTTTTATATGAAGTCTGGAGTGTGAATTAATTGTTTATAGACTTCCAGAGTATAATGTATTACTTTCACAAAGAATCATTTGCATTTTCTTTGCTTAATACAATATAAACTCCTCAAAAAAAGTTTGGAAACGTTATTCGGTCGATTATTCCTCCCCTTTAATAATACCTGGTTAGTCACCTTTACAACTTGTAAGGATCGTGCATTCGTTGAATGAGCAACACAGCTAACCGTGTGGGTAGCGGCCCAAAACAATTTGCTAAATCCCCTGCAATATTCTTCTGTTGGTATTCACTCTCGTTCTGAGCTTCAAGTGCTGCAGGTGTATGCCAGTCACAGGTGTGTGACTGATACCTGATTACAGGCAAGATTTGCACAACGGTACCACAGACAGATCTTTGATCAGGCGGTGAGGAACAGACTGCACATGGCCGGGTCTTCGCGCTTATAAGGCTGCCAGGAAGCCTGCAATGACTGCCCTTCACCGTCAGGCCCGTTGCGCTGGTGTCGACAGCACCGACAGTGGAACCTAAGAATGTGGGGGAACGTCATCTCACATCCCTCTCACAGGCAAAAAGAACTTGTCATCATTGAAGGCAATCTCAATGCAGTGAGAGGTGCCAAGCTGGTGTGGCTGTGTATGGATCTTCCACATGCTACTGAGGTCCCTGACAGTGTAAAATGAATAAAGTATAAAAATGGCCAATATGTGTTGTTTTTTCCTTATTACTGTGGGAGAGTGCAATCATCCAATCCAACAAGGATCTCAAAATGAGAATGAATACCAACAGAAGAATATTGCAGGGGATTTTGGCAAACATCTTTGGGCCGCTACCCACACGGTTAGCTGTTGCTCATTCCACGAATGCACAATCCTTACAAGTTGTACCTCGTTGTAAAGGTGACTAATCAGGCTTTCCAACAATATAAAAGACAATACCAATTGGTATTATTAAAGGGGAGGACTAATCGACCAAAATAACGTTTCCCAAACTTTTTTTAAGAGTTTATATACAAAATATAGAAATAATTTAGTAAAATGTGAACTATTAAGTCCATGCCCGCACTGTGCTGAAGACACGCTGTTGTTCAGAAGAGTGAGGGTTACCTGCATTGGGATAACAGATGATAAAAGCTGAGGTGCTTTTCCCGATGGCTTCAATGAAGGGCCTCATCTCTGTGGCCCCCAAGGCACAGTTCAGACCAATGCTGCAACAAAGAGACAGAACCAGGGGGAGACTGGAGGTCAGACTCGCACTGCAGCATAGAGGGGGAGTGGAGGAAGTCGTTGTTTTAATATATAATGTGTGTAGTTGTGTGTCAACTCACCAGAGAGGGTTAACGTGGGACAAACTCACTACGAAGGCTTCTCCTGTCTGACCGGAAAGAGTTCGTCCACTCCGGTCCACGATGGTCCCTGAGATCTGTGTGATGAGAGGTACAGGAAAGAAAAGAATACAATAATACCCACAGTTCATCCTTGGTAAAAGCGCCAATGTGTTTAAACACTTGGTCAAATGGTGATCAATTGAAATTAAGAGAACATAGAATATTTTAAATATAATATTTATAAAAAAGATTTGTATGTGCAAACAAGCAGACTAACAACCAACCCTCTAACCTAGGCACAAACATTGATACAATATCACAAACTTACAAAAATAGGTTTCCTTTCATAGCTCTTTTCAAAGAGCAGATCGATGGCAAACAAGGCAGCCTGTAAATACAAAAATAGAGAGGTAAACACAAAGACACAATATCAGGTTACAACTTAATACAATTAATCTGGTCTCATAAACCTTAAGTCAGATGTGGAGCATATTCAGGGGAAATACTCTTGAAATTTGAAAGACATCACAGGCCACCTTAAAGAGTATTAAAGGTCCCATGTCATGGCCATTTCTACTAATCATAATTCCATTGTTGAGGTATACTAAAATAGATTTATATTGTGCAATTTTCCAAACTCACATTGGTTTCTCATACAGCATCTCTGTAAAGTATGTGTATTCACTCTCTGTCCTAAACGGCTTGTTGGAGCTCCTGCCCCCCCCCCTCCCCTGTGAGCCCAGTGGCCGTCTGCGAGACAGCGAGACACAGCGAAACCCAGCCCGAAACACACACACAACTTGGCTGGGAGTTTGTGTGTGTGCTCAGGCTGAGTTCCGCGGTGTCTCGCTGTCTCGCCGACCCCACACCAGTTGAGCCAGCTCACACTGTCCACTCCTAGCAGCAGCGAGCCTCGCAACGTCCCGCCGAGTGTGTGTGTGTGTGAGGAAGTCCGCGGATTGGTCCAAACGTAATGGCTCCGCGGACGTTACGTCACTGTACCCAAGAAGTAAACAATGGAAAAAGATACATCTCCAAGGAGGCGTTCTGGGGCAGCACAGACAGGTCTTCTCTGTGTGAGAGTTTTACTCCCTACAGGGTGTACTTTGAGGGTTTGTGACTCTGCAGACCGTTTACATGCAGGAAAAGCTACATAACACACAAGGGGACGGGGGTAATATACCAGAGAAGCATGACATGGGACCTTTAATATTATAGCTGAGTATATCAGCTCACAAGTATTAATAGTATATACTCATGTATGTTCAGTTTAAAAATGAACAGAGAATGAAGAAAGTGTCTAATATATAAGGTGTCTAAAAAGTGTCTAATATGGGAGTATAAGTAAAAAAAAAATCCCTTTCTTTTTTGCAATATAAATAAACTGAAAAAACACAATCGGCCACATCATCGTACTGAAGCCTCTGAATATCACATTCTAGGTGAGAAGACAAAAAAGCAGCATCTACATAATAAATCAAAACTTTTTTAACTTCAGATTCTTACTTGTTAACATTTATTTTGCCAATTTTATTTTCTCAAACCAAACGGTAATAAATGTAGCTAAAACAAGACAGCAGTATCCAGTTAAAGCTCCTGGTGAGATATTGCTAGCAAGCCTTAACTATAGGCACAGCTACTCATCCCAAAATAAAACATTGGCCTGTCCTTTGCTTCCATTATATTCGAGCAAAGGTAAAAGAAAAATGTGCTTCTGGTTACATTAGTCTCTCCACTTTGAATGATGATTTGAGAATGTGGTGAACTTTTAAGTGGGATAATCAAATGTGCATGTTTACATTTACTTTCCCTGTTTACTTTAGCCGTTTCTTGTCAGTACAATATGAGTTTTGATTAACTCATATTTTGATAATTGAGTCTGACCATTGGTGGTACTTGCTGTGGAGCAGGTAAGCTGCACCAAATTCCTGGGTGTGCACATCACCGAGGACCTCATGGAGTAACAACACCACGTCAATCACCAAGAAAGCCCAGCAGCGCCTCTACTTCGTCCCCCCCATCGAACCGCAAGACCCTGCAGCTAAACACAGCTGAGAGGATCATCGGTGCCTCACTACTGGAAATGTACAACACCTGCCTCACCCGCAGAGCACTCAGCATTGTGGGTGACCCCACCCATCCCTCCACCTGCCTCTTCACCCTCCAGCCTTCAGGGAGGAGGTTCCGCAGCCTGAGGTCGAGCACAACCAGACTGAAAAACTGTTTTTTTACACCAGGCTGTCAGGAGGCTGAACTATCTCCCCTCCCATCCCCCCTGCCCCCACTGGACCATAACTCCCCACACACACTCAGACACTCAAATCCAGCACCAGACACTTTTTACGCTGCTATGGACAATCTGGCAATAATGCACATTCTATGGACAATCTGCACATTCTATGTACAATTTTGCACTAATGTACATTCTCAAATATTGAAGTGACTGTTATTTTGTATATATTGATCGTTGTGTTTTTATTTAGGTCTTAATGTGTGCACATGTAAAAATGTGTCTTTGATTCTATGTATATATATATACATATTTGCACACATATTTTTATATAGATTGTTTTATATTCGGGATTGTGGGAAACGGTATTTCGATCTCTGTCTGTACACACAAACTGGAAGATTGACAATAAAGTTGACTTTGATGTTGCGGAAATGCGTTGTTTCATTTCTTTAGTCCTTTTGCTAAATTGTCACTTTAGCTCGACCATCGCTAACAGCCATCCTAACTTTTGTCTCGAATGGAATGGTCTTGTGAAAATCATAAGATATGAAACCGAATCTCTAGTGGTGGACACAATGCTACCGTTGCATGGTTATTTACCGTCATTTCAGCCAACCCTATTGATCCATTTATGGTCATACGTTAACAAACCTTGGCGTTGGCTGTATCAAAGATGGTTTCCACCAGAAGGATGTCTGCTCCTCCGTCCAACAAACCTCTGACCTGCTCCGAGTAGGCTTCCACCAGCTCGTCAAACGCTGGGGAGGAAACACACACAGTCAATATGTTTATGATCAGGAAGGATTGTAATTGGCTGTCTGCTGTGCATAAAGAGGCAGCATTTTACATACATGCAACAAATGACACATAACCATGAATATTTAAATCAGTGTGAATGATGTTTCATCATGTTGTATCAAGTGTAACAGGCCTGGGCAGATAAAGAGGAAAATGGTAGTGAAGCAGTCACGACAGAGGCAGTGTTCAAAATCCAAAAAGAGGCTTTATTGCGGTTCACTAAAAAATACCTTTTACAATAGAAAGGCTAACGTAGCCGGGCCGCTAAACCGACTTGCCAGCTTACAACTGTTTCCTCACGCTGGGAGTCTCCTGCTCCCTCCATGTGCCACACACACCTGAGCAACTCTAGGTGCTTTTGTTCTCCCTTGAGGGAGTGATTAGCACCAGGTGTGAGGGTCTCCCCACCTGCTCCAATACTGATAATTGGCAGCGGGTGGAGCCACCTATTGGGAAGTAGGTGTCTCCCACTACTCTGCCTCCCAGTCCCTTACACACCCCCCCCCCTTCAGTTCTGGCCGAGGAGAGGTGACCATGGTCCACAGGGCATCTCTACGGGACAGAGCATCTGCATTCCCATGCTTAGCTCCGGCTCTGTGGATGATAGAGAAGTTAACCTCTTGTAGTGAGACAAACACCTTCCTACTTTAGCATTTGTGTCTTTTTTATTTGCCATCCAGATCAGTGGGCATGATCAGTTACCAGAGTGAAGTGTCGTCCCAAGAGGTAATACCGGAGGCGCTCAAGCGCCCATTTTATTGCTAGGCCCTTCTTTCTCCACAGTAGCATACCCTTGTTCCCTTGTGTTCAGCTTCCGGCTGATGTACATGACGGGGTGTTCCTCACCTTGAACCTCCTGGGATAGTACTGTTCCTATGCCCACCTCTGACGCATCCGTCCTGCACAATCATCCCCCCGGCTGAAGTCTGGGGTCACCAACACCGGCCGTGCGCAGAGAGCCCTCTTAAGTCCCTCAAGGCGTGTTCAGCCTCTCCTGTCCACTTGACCATTAGCGGCTGTGAGTCTCTGGTCAGGTCTGTAAGGGGAGAGGCGACCTGTGGAGAAGTTTGGGATGAAAGGGCAATAGTAGGACGTCAGACCCAAAGAAGGTTTTCACCTGTTTCTTTGTTGACGGCCGTGGCCAGTCCTGGAATCGCTCTGAACCTTCCTTTCTTGTGGTCTAACGTTGCCCGCCCAATGGTGAAGCCCAGATATTCGGCTTCCTCCAGTCCAAGCTTGCATTTTCTTGGATTGGCTGTCAAGCCCGCCCTTCGGAGAGATTCCAGCACTGCTGCAAGCCTTGTGAGATGGCTATCCCATGAGTCACTGTGGATCACAACGTCATCCAAATAGGCAGCTGCATACTCACGATGTGGCCTCAGAACCTTGTCCATCAGTCTCTGGAACGTGGGCTAGTGCTCCAAGAAGCCCGGAAGGGAAGCCAGTATATTGGTACAGCCCTGTGGGGGGTGGCGAAGGCCGTCTTCTCTCTTGAGGCTGCTTCAAGTGGGACCTGCCAATACCCTTTCGTCAAGTCCAGAGTGCTGATATATCTGGCTTCCCCAAGCCGATCAATCAGCTCATCTATCCTGGGCATAGGATACGCATCAAACTTGGACATTTCATTCAACTTTCTGAAATCATTACAGAACTTGTTGGTTTTTGTCGGGCTTAGGAACCAGAATGACAGGGCTGGTCCACTCACTGTGAGATTCTTCAATCACCCCCCATAGCCAGCATTTTCTGCACTTCTTGCTCAATGGCCGCCCGTCTTGCCTCCGGCACCCGGTAGGGCCGCATCTTTACCTTTTGGCCAGGCTCTGTGTGGATTGATGTTCCACCATCGTTGTGCGTCCCGGTCGTAAGTGAGAACACGTCCAAAGTCTGCTGAACCAGTTCCTTGGTTTGTTGTAACTGAGCTTTGGACAGCCCTGGACCGTATTCCACTTCGGCCACCTCCTGGTCGGGAGAAGAGGGGGACACAACCGGGGAACCATAACACAGCAGTGCCTCTCGGGCGTACCATTTCTTTAACAGGTTAACATGGTATATTTGGGATGGTTTTGCGACGGCCAGGTTGGCGTACCTTGTGGGTTGACTGGTCCCACCTTCTCTACCACTTCATAGGGACCTTGCCACGATGTCCAGGAATCTGTGTTCTGTGGTGGGGGACCAGGAGAAGCACTTTATCCCCGGGCAGGAACTCACGCGGTTGGGCACCTCTGTTATAACACTTTCCTCTGGGCTTCTTGGGCTTGAGCCATGTGCTCTCTGACCATGGGCCAAACATCTTTCATATGCGTCTGCAATCGTCTCTACATGCTCAATCAGGCTCCGATGGGGGCTTGGTTGCTCCTCCCAGGCTTTCCTTCGCGATGTCAAGAAGTCCTCTGGGCTGTCGGCCGTACAGCAGCTCGAAGGGGGAGAAACCGGTTGAAGCCTGTGGAACTTCCCTGATTGAAAACAGGACATAGGGCAGAAGCTGGTCCCAGTTACGACCATCCTCGTCAACAACCTTCTTTAACATGGATTTCAATGTCTTGTTAAAGCGCTCTACCAATCCGTCTGTCTGAGGATGGTAGACAGATGTACGAAGCTGCTTTACCTTGAATAGCCTGCAGAGATCCTTCATTATCTTGGACATGAAGGGAGTGCCTTGGTCTGTTAGTATCTCTTTAGGAATCCCAACTCGGCTGAATAGGTGAAGCAGCTCCCGTGCAATCACTCTCGTTGTCATGTTCCTCAAGGGAATGGCCTCCGGGTACCTGGTTGCATAGTCAAGGATCACAAGAATATACTGATGTCCCCTGGCAGACTTCACCAGCGGTCCCACTAAGTCCATGGCAATGCGAGAAAACGGTACATCGATTATCGGTAGAGGTATTAGGGTATTTTTAAATTGTGGCTTGGGACTCATCTTTTGACATTCAACACAGGTGCGACAATAATCCTCTATAGCTCTTACCACCCCTGGCCAGTGGAACCGGCTCCCAATCCGCTGCCTTGTCTTCTCAACCCCTAGGTGGGCCCCTAGGACATGGCTGTGAGCCAGATGCAACACTGTGGACACATATTGTTTTGGGACCACCAACAAGTCTCTTCGCTGACCTCCAACCTCTTTGGCATAGTATAACAGATTATTATTGATTAGGAAATGAGGACATGTAAGCTCACCTACTCCTGGAACAGGTTTTCCCACTATTTCCGTAACATTACTGCGTGCATGCAGCAGATTGGGGTCTTCCATCTGGGCGGTCCCGAACTGGCCCTTCAAACTTGGAAGCAATGCGACTTCACCCTCCTCATCCCCTGTGCTTAGGTCTTCAGGGAAAGCAACAAAAGGGTTATCATTTGCCTCGTCTGCACTGGAAGATTGGTTGCCTCTCTGCTCCTCCGGCACAGCACACACAACTTTGGGGAACTGCTGAGGAGACGTACCCGGGGTGGCAATTTGTCCTTTCTCTCGCTTTCCTTTGGCACGCCTGGGATTTTTGGGCCTCCCCTCCTTCTGGTGCCGCAGGCGCTTGTATAGTGGGCAGTCTCGCCCCACCAAGACTGGGACTGGTAGGGAAGGAACCACCCCCACTTTCAGCTCACAGCTGCCTTTAACTGTGGTAAGGTGGGATGAGGCAAGTGGGGTATAATTTAGTGTCCCCATGGACACAGGAGACGGCCACAGTCTCTTTGGATGGCAAATGGTCGAGGAGGTGGGGTTGAATGAGGGACACCACACTTCCTGAGTCCACTAGCGCCTCTGCATCTTTTCCATTTACCTTGACTGGTATCATTTGAGCCAGGGAGCTTTCCTGTGCCCAGCAAGAGTCAAGAAGGTGGCAAGGCCTTGCACCAGATGAGTGGGCGGTCGGCATTAGCTCATCCTTCCCTGGGCAATCCCGGGCCATGTGGCCTATCTCCCCACACTGGTAGCAACGCGGTTGGCCCTCTGGCAGGTAGGACTGTCGTCGCCTTACCTCTTCGGGTTCCCATCGCGGTTCTCGTGCCCGTCTAGTCCGTGATTCTTCCCCACTGGCTTTCCGGCCCCACTCGGTGTCTGGTCGTGTGGACTTAAGCAGGTCCGCTGTGACCACGTGGCTCTCCACTACGTCAACCAACTCATCCAGACTGGCTGGATTCTGCTGGCTTGCCATTTTCTTGGTCTCATAGGGCAGAGACCGAATATATTTGTCCATCATTATCCTCTCTAAAACACTCAACTTTTCGGGGTCGCAGGTCAGCCAGGCTCTGGTTACCCGGCCTAGGTCATACATCTGGGCCCTGGCTGACAACGCTGGCTTGTATTTCCAGTCATGGAACCGCTGGGCTCTAGCTGCTAAGCTGTAGCCATACCTCGCCAGGATTTCCCTCTTCAAGACGACGTAGACCTTTGCTTGGTCAGGAGGGAGGTTGAAGTAAGCTTGCTGTGCCGGGCTCAGGAGGAATGGTCCAACCAGCTCAGCCCAGGAATCCCTTGGCCAGCCCTCTCTTTCAGCAGTGCGCTCAAAGGCTGTTAAGTAGGCCTCTATCTCATCACTCTCCGTCATTTTGGGGATGAATCGACCTGGATTAGGCTGCACGGTTGCTTCCCTCTGGGTAGGAGAGGCTGCTGTTAGGCATTTTTGGACCTCCACATGGAGAAGCACATTCTTTTTCTGCTGCTCCTGTATCATCTGCCGTTGCAGAGTCTGCTGCTCAGTAGAAATACGCACCAACTCCCTTAGTACATCCTCCATCTTGAAACCGAAATACCCTAACTGCAACACCACCACTAGAGTCCTTAGGCCCGCATTCTCCACCAGTGTAACAGGCCTGGGCAGATAAAGAGGAAAATGGTAGTGAAGCAGTCACGACAGAGGCAGTGTTCAAATCCAAAAAGAGGCTTTATTGCGGTTCAACTAAAAAATACCTTTTACAATAGAAAGGCTAACGTAGCCGGGCCGCTAACCGACTTGCCAGCTTACAA